TTCTTTAAATGCGTTCAGAATCAATCAAAGAAAATCGATTCAATTTATTTATGTATAGCCCTAAATCATAACAGTAGTTATCGCGGAGGACTTTACAAAGCTGTTGATTCGCCAACACAGATCAGAGAATCAAACAGTTAAAACACAAGAAATGGCGCAGAGACCGATGCCCATAAATGTTGCTGAATGTCGGGTGTCCTGGATCTTTGTCCCGGGCGAGGAAAAACTCTAAAAACTAAAATCTCAGTCCTTTCACTAATGACAAATCTCCACTGTTTAATATTTTAATTATCTATGGACATGTATCAACGTTTTGACATTGGTCTCTGCCCCGTATGGACCACTGGCTCTATGTGTTTTTATCCCTGCATTTGTTGCGTTTGAACGGTTTGATTCTCTAATCTGTGTTAGCAAATTCAACAGTTTTGTAAAGTCCTCCAAGATACTGACAAGAACACATTGAATTGAATAAACTATCAAAATCCCTCGATCACCACACCTCTCACATTCGATCCCAAAGCTGCTGCACCAGTGTTATGCCCGTTTTCTGCCGTTATTCACACATGTTTTTAAATGTTACTGCAGACGTATGGGTGTCATAATGAATTTACTTTTCGATTTTCAGAAGCCCCATCCCTGGCATTGTTTGTGCTTTTGGCCAGTTGTGTATTAACATAGGAAAATGACACATCCACAGAGGTCAGCATGAGTATTCCAAAAAAAAAGAGTAAAAATAGGAATTGCTTTTTACGCACTTGACAAACGTGAGTGAATGTTACTTTACCGAACAGTATTTTTTTGTGTCTTTTTTGTGTTTTTTCTGACAATGGCAGTATTTTGTTCTCCCCATGAATCTGTAGGACTCCTGTATGTATTATGAAGTCCGGTATTTATTTAACAGTGTCATGTACTTTACTCATTAAGCTGAATATGAAAAGGAGGTCACTGGGAGGTGGCGCCTGTCGAAAAGTGAAATTTAAAGTTTATTTTAGGTTTTTGGTCAAATTTGCATCACATAAAACCACATTTAATTATATTTTGTGCAGTTCACAGTCATATAAACAATAACTTGAACTATTTCAATCCCAAATTTCACTTTTTGATCAATTTCAAATAGAAATGTGTTACCAACATGTCCGTATTGGGGCATGGTATTGTCAATAATTGTTTTTCTTTTAAATAATCTTGACGTTTTTCTTTGTAAAAATAAAACCCAGCCTTGTCTTGTGTGCATGGATCTCAATGAAGGATGTTTTTGCCCATGACGTTTCTTTGTTTTTTCTCCTCAAAGCCAAAACTTGATTTCATGTTTTTATTTCTCCTTCGTGCCAATAACTGTGTCCTGTCCACGCGCTGAAGCCCAGTGTTTTGTATTTGTTTTGTTTCCATGACTCCCATCACAATAAAATGTAAGACAGAAGTGTGTTTTTGGAATATTGTCGTGTGTTTGAAATCTCCGACTGTGACAAAAGGAGGAGTTTAGATGCATTTGTCCCTGTGCAGCCGCCGTACGAAACACAGACTGTAAATATGAGGCGTGGATCTATGAGTTTTTTCTTTTTATTCAAAGTTTGCTAAAGAAAAAGTGCACATTTCTCAACAGCTGCAGGATAACTGCACATGAACGAACCAATGATGAATAAATGAAGCAAGAAAACTATAAATATATATACACTAATATTACAGTAAACAGACCAAAAATTTGGACACACCTTATTCAAAGAGTTTTTTATTTTCATGATTATGAAAATTGTAGATTCACACTGAAGGCATAAAAACTGAATTATCTCATAATACGTACTGAAAAAAAGTATGAAACTACTAAAATAATATTCTGGGTTCTTCAAAGTATAGCACCTTTTGCTCTGATTACTGCTTCACACACTCTTAGCATTCTCTTGATGAGCTTCAAGAGGTAGTGATCTGAAATGGTTTTCAACAGTCTTGAAGAAGTTCACAGAGATGATTAGCACTTGTTGGCCCTTTTGCTTTCACTCTGTGGTCCAGCTCACCCCAAAACCATCTGGACTGGGTTCAGGTCCGATGACTGTGGAGGTCAGGTCATCTGGCCCAGCACCACCACTCTCCTTATTGGTCAAATAGCCCTTACACAGCCTGGTGTGAATCTACAGTCAATAGTCATGAAAAGAAAGGTCACGCATTGAATTAGAAAATGTGTCTAAACCTTTGGTCGGTACTGTATTATTATTATTATTTTCTCAACGTGAGCGTTCTAGTGGAAAGTTAGTTAAGATTAGTACAAGACTTATAGACTTTTAAATAATTAAATATGAGTACAATGTGAAATTTGGAAATGATTACATATATTTTAATATTTTGGACTTAAACTCAGGGGAGGCGCAGACATGGATTCATTTTAGAACTGGAGGGATCTATTTCTTCTTTCTAAGTTAGATACCCCAATTTCAAATGTATGTGGGAGGATTTTCTACTTCCGGGTGGATCATCTAGTCCAGGAGTGGCCAACCAGTCCGAGACCAGAGCCAATTTACTGTGTTACTGCAAAGAGCCACATCACACACATGGGCACACATAAACATCACCCCATCCTTTCCTCTCATAGACACACACACACACACACACACACACACTCCTCCTCCTGGCTCCTCTCAATGTGGCGAAGCAGCAGCTCTACTCTGAGCTCCTCCTGTTTTCAGCTCAAATCCAGTTCAATTAATACACGTCAAGCATTACTTCGTAGCTTCTTTAGGCAAACTGTGCAAAAATGACACAATCAGACAATATCAGTACAGATACAAGAATAATTTTGTTGTTGTTAGTTAACTAATAGTGAAACAAATATAACATTTCAAACAGGGGTCTCCAACCTGTAGCTCGGTAGTCACCAGTAGCTCGCCACCCCCTTCCAGGTAACTCACCAAAGGATTTAGAAATGAACAAATCAAATTATATACTAATATTGTTTGTAATATAAAACACAATTATTTAATATTCTAAATGCAAACCAACTATGTGCACAAATAACGAATATGTGATGATAAATAATGACTGTGCCCGATATCAGGCTCGCTCTCTCCAATACATCATTTTTATTAGGACCACTGAAAACAAGTAGTTCTCTGTCTTTTTCATATTGGGAAAGTAGCTCTCTGGGTGAAAAAGATTGGAGAGACCCTGTTTGTTGCGTGTTTTTTAAGTGAATAAAAGACACTTGTGAGCCAAACACTTGAGGTCATTGACATGGCAGCTTTATTTGAAACCTTCTACATTACAATAGTAAACATACACAAATAGAAGACACACAATTATAAAACAGTCAATCATCTGTAACCCACGTCTCTGGCCCCAACAATTAGCCCAGGAACCCATTCTACCATCTAACCAAGCCCCGGCGTTCCAAGATGGCGCCCTATTCAAATGAATGGTTGTGCTCAATGGCGCTTTGTGACGGCATGGGGGCTGAAAGATTAGCAGAAGTCGCCTGGAACTCGCAAAGATCTATGGAAAACTCGCAAAGATCTATGGGAAACCTGTATACCCGCCTGTATTTGGGCATCGTCTTGTCCTCCCGGTTCTGCGCAGTGGATGATCTCCCATAATGCGTTGCGCCAAACACGCGTGTGTCTTCTTCTTCTTCTTGTTAGGTTTTTCCGGCGGTTGGCAACCTATTTTTGCGCATTACCGTCACCTTCTGTTCCGTGGATGGGTCAGTAGGCTCACACTCTAACCCCACAGACTATCAGTCTATGGTCCCACCAAGGGAATTGTAAAAGAAAAGAAAAGAGAAAAAAAAAAAAAAAAAAAAAAAAAACACAACAACCAAAAACAAAAACTAAACAAAATTCATACATACCTAACTATACTATATCTATATTTTGCTGAATAACCCGGCTTCCTTTAAAAACAACACTAATGCCCTCACTTGCGCACTCCCTCCAGTACCCAAAATACTCTTTAAATTAAATTCCTTAACCCCCAGTTCCTTAAGCCTCTGTTTCAGTACCTCCCTACACTCACTATATCCCCTGCAGTGCAACAGCACGTGCTCTACAGACTCCTCCTGCTCTTCACATCCCTCACAAACACGCGTGTGTGGGTCTCACACCGGGTCTCACGCACGTGCACAGAGGGGCTCGGCCGCGCTCTGACCAATCAGAGCAGTACCGCGAGAATCCCCCGAGCACATGGGTTATTCAGCTACAAGCTAGTAATACCCTATCCAGTTATTATAATAGATCCATGCATCTAACCCATTATAGTTAAAATGGCCACGCCCCAGAACACCTGTAGCCCACTTCCTGTTCACAGAATCGAGGCTGAGCTCTACAAGAACTCAAAAACAACGACTTGAAAAACGAACACTCAGCGGCCAGGTTTTTTCCCTACCCCTGAACCCGGAACATTCCTCGTAACAGGCGGCGAGCTGAGCCCAAACGATCCTACAAACTGGTAGGACCTTTTCATTTCTTTCCCCAACGTTTTGCCCGTACAAGAGGGCTCCCTTATTCTTGGATTATTGTTTTTTTCTTCCATACGGATTACATTTTCTTTGACCTTTTTTTTCTGAACTCAGTATTTAAAACAGAGTACTACAAACTTTTCCCTTTTTGTATTTGTCTTTGTATTTACTTCCTGTCTTTTTATGTTCAAAGGTCTATTTAATTTTTCTACAACACTTTTTTTCAACACAATTTATCAATTATACAGTCATACTTCTCTCCGTGTCTTCATTCCCACAAGCCCCCACACCCAACTTAGGTTTTCTGTCACTCACATACACAACCATTGCTATAACTATCCCTAATACGTTATTTCAATTAGTGTTACACATCCATTTGACAAACTGAACTAAAGAACATTTATCTGTAAATACGTCAGCTTTCATTTGCGGTCGGGGCCGTTATTTGTTCCATCTGACATACCGTCCTTAACCCCTAACCTGTGATGGTGGAGGTCAGGAGTCATCATTGCCTTTTCCATCAGAAACAGAGTTGAGTTGAGTTCAGTTTTTCTTGCTCTTATTTTGAAGGAACTGTAGCATTCTCCGAGCTGTTGTTCTGCAGCAGCTGTTGCACCAGAGCCTTCAGTTCCCGGAGCTCGGACCGGATTGAGTTCATTTCCTCGTTCGCATTAAACTGTTGGTCCTGAGGCGTCGAGATTCTGCGTAAACAAGAGATTGTATCGTTCAGACACAACCACAGTTTAAGCCAATGCAGGTATGTAGAAAAGTCCATGCCAAACTAGAATTAAGTTGTTTTTAAGACAGACACACATCCAGGGAGAACCAAGATTATACCAAGAAGATTATAAGAATATTGTGTTTTCTATTTTTATACGATGATGAAAGAGAAGCTGTAATCAAAAGTCTTTATCCCCCTGTTCTCAATAGCATGTGTTGTCCCTTCAACATTTATAAAACATCTATACATGTCTTTTTCAAAACTTTTGTACCCACTGGAAAAAGCAGCAATTCCTAAGCCGCTCTGAAACAGTTATTTCGTGTTTTAAAATCATTATTATTCTTGATTGTTCCAAGCTGTAAATGTTACTGCACTATTGTGTTCATGGTTTTACACTGCTCCAGACCAGAGCAGAGAGAATGCACGGTTTCGAACCAAGCAGATCAAACATAAATCTACAGGAGGAATGCTAATCTTAAAAAAAAAAAGAATGTTAATAAAGCAATCAGAATTTCACTCTGAACCAGAGCAGAGAGAATAGCCCGAAGTGAGCAGACTTTGCAGACATCAACCAGAGGAAGCAGCTCATCTCCCGCGGCTGCACCACCTCTGCTGTTCGTGTGGATGTGTTTCCGCTGCTGGAAACCTGCATTTGTCCTACGAGGATCAATAAAGTATCCGTCTATAACAGCGTAGAGTCTTTTGTGATAAATTGAATATGGAAAACATGTTTCATTGACAAAAAGTGACTTCACACGACCATAAATAATGAATGAAATGAGCAAATGTTCTCCATAATATATGGTCAGAACAATGACATCTCAGAACAGACTTTCAAGCACAACTGTTCGTGTAGTGAAAGGTGTTTAATGATATATTTCAGTTTCATGTCTTACCCTGACGCCTGTCGCTGCAGAGATAGAAAATCATCCAGTGTTTCCTGAAAAGAACAACATTTAGATGTACATTTTTTTTACATAAAAACATGTAAATAACAATAATTACAGGAGCTGTGTTACAGTGTGTATTGCTGTTACTTGCTGAATTACACTGCAGGGTTTTGTTTTGTCTTGTGTTGAATACGTGGGAGGTTATATCTTTATTTTAATAGATCCATGGGTTATATAAGTGTCCCCTCCATCCATTAAAAAAATGTTCAGGTTTGAAAGAAATAAACTATCAAGAATATGCTGCGCCCTCTACAAAACATTGTTGTGCATTGCAGATGAATGACTGGATCATCTCGGACACAGCAGATGCTCATGAGGTCATGAGGCTTCAGTGCTATTTCCAAAATTGAATAAACCTGTTTTTTTTTTCCTAGTACTTTTGGAAACTGTGGCAGAAGGGAAACAGGTCGTTATCATCAGTTCTATTTGTTAACGAGGCTATAAGTACTATTGTAAAACACACAACTTGCTTCAGCCAAACAGGAGAAGGGATAACTGGTGTTAGGAGCCGAGAATCCAGTTGGATTGAGGCCGAAATAAAAACGTGGTAAACTCAGAGGTCCCCCCCCCCCAAGGTCTGAGAATTCTGATTGGAGAGGTCCCTGTTGACTGTTCCAAGGTCGAGGCTCCAGACCAGCCGCGGCGGCAGGGATAGGCCTGGGTAGGCCGGTGCCTACCAGTTTTTTTCTTGGCCTACTCAAATTTGTTCTTCGCCTCTCAAGTCATTAGCCTTTTTTATTAAAAGTCATAATTTAAATATTGTTATTTTTATACACAAATTATTGGTAATGCCTAAATGTTGCGTTCTAATGTTTTAAGAAAATATAACCCCCTGAGCGTCATCACGTTCCTACGTTGCTTCAAATATAGTCCTGTTTATTGGCTGAACAATTTTGTCCAATATCATATCACACAGCGTGAAGCTCGTTCCCGAGAACAACCAGCTACTCCTCGTCTTAAAGATTGACAACGCTCTCAAAACATTCACAACAGAGCAGCCTTTTTCATTTTAGTTTTAAGACAGTTCAGCGTGAACTTTGTGAGGTAGAGGAGCCAGAGGCCCGGGCCCGTAGGTCCCAGAGGAGGAGAGCACGGTCAGGCCAGGCTGGCCTCGCACTGATGAGGTAAACTCTAGGCCTGTGTGAGACACACTGTGGGCCTCATGTATGAAACCTGTGTACGGACAAATCAGGGTAAATGAGGCGTACGCAAAATATTACACTTTTCCGCATTTATCTATCTGGACGTGAGCGTACAATACGCACAAAATATACGCCAGGTCTGGAGCTGGTGTAAATCTTTACGCTGATCTCAACCTTCGGCACAACACGCCAAAACACGCATGAAATTCAAGATATGGACAAACAAAAAACATATTCCCTTTGGCAAAATTATATGCTGTGTTTTCATTGAGGATCATGTTTCAAAATTTAAATTTGCGCATCAGAAAAAGTCTAATGGAAACACGCAAACTTCGAATAAATCACAGCTCATGATGAGAACCTTCTATTAAATCTGACTTGTGTGTGTATTATTTTGATCTGTATGTTTTTAAAATGTGAAGCGCTTTGTGATCCTGGACAGTCAAAGGCTCTATATAAATACACTTTACGCAACAGGGATGTGTGACCCATCTATTGCTGTGACAGGCTCTGCGCTGCGTAATTACGCACGGCTATTTGTATTCCTCATTCACATCTAAAGCAATGTGTTATTTCATTAGATTTGTGTAACCCTCACACAGACACACACCCCAATAACGCATCGCTGGTATTGCTCACTCACAAATGTCTCACTGCCCTGTCCAGAGTGCGCAGCGAGTGCCGTGAGAGGTCCCGCCACATGTGCAGAAGTTTTGGCTCCAGAGTTTCTTTGTGAAATCTGGACCGCAAACGCTCTCTGAAGTGTACAGCGCCTCAATGCGCACTTCTACCCCAAGCCAGGCTGCGTCCAAGACGCTGCAGACGCTTCATTCAGAGCCACCGCTGCATAACATATATGAATTATTCATTCATTCAATCAATCTATATTTATTCACTACTACAATTCAAGAGAGATTTTTCTAATGTATCAAAACATTTTAGCAAATTTGTTCAAAACGCAGCTGAATATATAGAGTATATTTATTTTTACATAAACATGAACAAACAAACGTCCCTTTTGAGGCTTCCAAACAGTCTTTTAGGCCGGCTTCCTGCTGACCTGTCACGAAGACGGGGCGTGAAACACGCGATTGCTGCATAATTCTAGGTGTGACTTTCATAAATATTTTCGTATTCAGCCGATTTATCAACACCCGCAGCTGCGTACGCTCAGAACTGGGCGGATCTCACATGTTCATAAATCCGACAGTGGATTGTGCGTAAATGGAATATACACCCAAAATGTACACCTTTTTCTACGCAAGTTTCATAAATGAGCTTGTGTGTATGTGCGCGCGTGAGTGCGTGTGCGTGCGTGTGTGCGTTTGAGCCATATTCTTGGAAACCCCAATTCCAGCTAGCCTTTGTAGTTTGCAAGCGAATTTGGCCTACTTACTAATCTACAGGCCTACCCAAAATTGCAAACCTGGCGCCGCTACTGCTCCAGACAAAGGGTGACCGAGCCTTCTCTGTCTGGGCTCCTCACCTTTGATCGACCTGCACCATCCAGTGTCCTCTTTTAAATCACTTCTTCCTGTTACTCACATGGCAATAAAAAGGATTCTGATTCTTAAGACCCACTTTTAACCAACAGCTTTTAACTGTCAGCTTTGTCCTCCTGTATCTACTGTTCATTATTTTGACTTTGTATTATTATGACTGTTTTGGACTTTGCAGCACTTTGTAAACACTGTTTTTGTAAAGTGCTGTACAATTATTATCATTATTATTATTATTATTAGAGATATATTAACACATTTCATCTCAGTGAAACCCAGCTGATGGTGACAGACAGTAGAGCATGTATAAAAATTATCTTTATAATCCATTTTCAAAACAATGGAACAGCAGAGGGATTAAAGGACAACTAAACACCAAATCAACTTTGTTAGTTTGTTTTAACTCATAATGTTTCCTATAGTGCCCTCTACATAAGCTGGTAATTATTTTGACATTTTAGTGCAAATTAGATAAAATCACACTTTTGAGCCTAAAGCCATCTGTGTGGCGCCCTCTCTACCTTTTTGGTGGCACTAAATATAAATTTGGTGCCTGGCCTCTCATTGGCTCTGGAGTGATGGAGGACATCAGCTGGTATGTGTGACGTGCGTCTCTCTGCGCCAGTGATATAAAGAGTCCCGGCTAAAAATTGGCCAAAATGACGTGCGCTGACATGCTTGCAATACCACCCCGGGCCGATGGGGGTGGACCCGGAATAAGAATTAGCCAATGCTAACATATAGCATTAGCAGACCTGTGAGATTTCATAACACTTTGAAGCAACTTTTGTTATAGTTAAACTCATCATTCTATCAATGTGCAGAAGCCAGTACTTTTCCCTTGTTTTGTCTATCTGAAGGCCAAGCTACATGGCACCGTGGAAGCTGCTGATTGGAGGTCTCCATGCCTCCGCTCTGTATAATACACTTGCATTCTATTGTATCTGTGTTCGTGTTGTTCGTGCTGTCTCTACCATCGACAATAAAACATGTCTTCTGTCTGAATTTATGACACGATCCCAGACTTGGCTCATCTTCTTCAGACCTCTCAAAAACGTCTTTACAGGATGGACCAAAAGTTGGCTCTTGGCCCAAAGCTCCGTTCCACATGTGTGTCAATGCTGAGGGGGGTGAATGTTTTTGGTCCACTCTAGTTTACTTGCTGTGAATTTTTGAAGTCACTCGTTTAAATGAATGGAGCTGCACCGGCTGACGCATTCGCAGATGCGTTTTTTTCACAATTTTCTTGTGGACGGGACCACTCGCGGCCATTTTGGATAGCTCCAGTAGAGCACATTTTTTGGCCCATTAGTTAGAACGGAGGAGAAAGGCGTGACTCTGTCCATTATTTTTTACAGTCTATGGATACAAACCCATCCAAGTCTCACACATTTGGGCAGAGTAAGGCTGGCACAGGTGTTTAGTCTCCCTTTAAAGCCTGACCATGGCCCTCATTTGCGCGTTCCCGATGATGGTTGTGAGTGCTTAGGGTGTCCCAATTCTCCAGGGAGGTCTTTGGCCCCGCCCCCTTTGCGTCCCTGATCCACACTTTGCCGTAGCCTGCATCTAAGAGGACTCTGGCGAAGGATATTGCCCATAATTCTTTGCGGTACACACCTCGGGAAAATGCATTTAATTGTAAGTTTTGTAATATATATGCTGCATGTGTGTAAATAAATGTTGCTTTGTTACTTGGAAAGAAGCATAAATGTCTGAATTTCGGACATTCCATGCTAACAATTTCATAACTTTTTTAATGCAAGCTTTCATAAAACATTCAATTTAAACTTTACACTTACTACAATAAACTTAAGGTTGTATAAAAACCGACCAGATAACAGGTAGTTACCCACATTTAACTTATTAATTATACAGCTATCTCAAATTACGAATAACCAATACACATTTAATTTAACGTGTGTGGAGCAACTCATTAATTAACTACTACTTTTGTTTCCAACAGGGTCGGACAAAATTACCTTTAATTTTTAAAGGTCGATAGCGTAACCTGCAACGTCCCAATTCCGCCTTTTTTGAACGCTTGTATCCTGCGCACTCAAACCCTTGTGTGGACTTCAGTCAAATGCACACTTCGTGGAGGAGTGTAGGGTGCAGTGCGGGTAAAGGAGGACCTTTGTTTACACCCGCGGGCGCATGCGCCCCTCGCTGTGTGGCAAGAAGGCCGAGCGGCACATACTGAAGCACCGATCTGCTGGGACTGGGACTCGGAGACATTTATTCTTACTTCATAGAAAACCCGGGACCCTTCACGCAAGAAGGTTCCGTGATGAAAATCCATTCCTCGTGTTTTTCACAGAGGTAAAGTGGCCCGGCATTTTGTCGTCGCGGTAAAGTACATTGAAAGCGGGTTGCCCCTTTTTGCTGTTCCTTACGGTAAAGGTGGAACAGGAAGCCGTGGGGATGAGCAACCAAAATGCAATGTTTAAAATTAATCATCAGTGAACAAGTGCGCAGTGAAAGTAGTCGCAAAACTTAAATTTGTTTATGAATTTTTATCCCCTCATCCCCCTGGCATCCCGTTCTACGTTTACCGTAGGTAACAGCATAAAAGGGCAACCACTTTACCGCGGCCGTTTTTCGCTGTTCTTTTCCGAAAGACTTAGAAAAAAAACTTGATCTGTCCCCAGCGCGCCGTACAACTGACCACACAACAAGAATGGACCATTTGATTTAGTAAAACCTCTCTCCAAACGTCTAAAAATAGCTAACTCTCTAGCATCCAGGTAGCTTTCTGTGCTGTATTGCCACCCAGCCACATGACCGGCGCTGAAAAACTAAAAACAACAACGTCACTCCATCCTCCTATTGGGACAGAAACCAAGACTCACTTTGACCTGCCGGGTGATGAGAGTGCGTGCACGGTAGTGGGCGTGGCTGTGCGTGGGGGCGGGGCCGTGGTCTCCCTGTACGAGTGGTGCGCACTTCAGAGCGATGTGGCGCGGGTCATAGAAGCGGCGAAGCAGCGGCAGCGAGTCCTGGAGCTGGAGCACGACCGCGGCCTGCTGCATGAGCGCGTTGGCCTGGGACTGATCGTGGACCCTGCACCACACATTGCACAACACTGTCATCCACTGTATTCAACTCAATTCAATATGTTTTCGCTTCATAAAAGGACTTCATAAAACTGTCAATTCGCCAACACAGATCAGAGAATCAATTATGTTCAGCACCCACTTAAACATGATTGTGGCATTTTAATGAAAAAAGGGGCATTTTGCTTGAGTTTTGTAGTTATATCTCGTTTATTTATTTATTTTCTTGTAGTTTATTTAATTTATTGTTTTTATTTCATTTTAAATGTTTACACTGCGTACATAATGTTTTACTTTTTCTATTCATATATCTATTTTATGTTTTTAAACATATGAAGCTAGCAAACCTGTATATTTTAATGTGTTACTTTTATCTCTGTGTAGCACTTTTATAAAACGTGCTATATAAATAAAGGGGATTGGATTGAAAGTGAAGAATGAGAGCAAATTAGAAGTAGATTATAACTTGTATGTTAAATTAAATTGTAACCTATGTCTGATAATGTATGGACTCCTATGTGTTTTGAAGCCAATAATTCCCTTTGGCTGGCGTGTCCACAATTTGGTACAGAAATCAGACGAAGATATCCAAGTTTAACATCTGCATTTAATTATCTTTACAATCAGATACAGAATATTCAACAAAAAGGTGCTCCTAACTAATATGTCCCTCTCCTGGCCCTCGGCTGATTTCTCTCGTCTCTTCCCAAGCCAGAGCATTATGTTCAGGGAGCAGGGGGCGTGTCGTATCAGGGAGGTCCTGTGCCCAGGGTCCGATGACGTCACAGGTCTGAAACTGGTCTCTGGTCTGAGACTGGTCTGGTCTCTGCTTAAGCAAACAATGCCCCCACCCGTGCGGCGCCTGTGTAAACGCAGCTGCTGCGGGAGGGGGCTGCGGGGGATCCATAGGTCAAATTTGCCACACATGTGTTTATTCTGGGAGTCAATAATTGTCTGGCTTTTGTAAGCTGGTCCTCCTTTATGATTCTCGTACTTCTTGTGTCCTTGGGGTTTTTCCTGAGTGCACAGAGGTCTTTTTTTGGCTATGATGTTCAAATGGTCAAATATTGTCACATCTGAATAGTGTAGATTTAAAATATACAACAGTTCCCCTCTGTTGACCTATATTAAACCAATTTAGGTCACAATCTTTCAATATCCCTTCTGGGTGACGGGACTGGGGAGATTCCATCATCCTAGTTCTGGCTCGATATCTGTGAAGAGTTAATACAGGAAGACAAACAACACACAACCACATTGAAACATTCCTTCACTAAACTCTTTGATGACCACTGCTGTCATTCTGATTCTTCTTCAACCTCGTCTGTAATGTATGCACTAAAACTATTCACTATAGTTTAAACTATTCTAATCTATTTACCAATATGTTTGCATCTTTGCTTTTATTGAGCCATATTCTTAAACATATGTTTTTATCTAATAAATCTATCTATACTGTGGTTTGCTGTCATTATCAGTGGCTCTGTGCCATTTTGTGGGGCTTTGCTCATTTTTCCAAACACATTTTGTTGAACCAGGAAGTGCTGTCACTTCCTCCTCTCAGACCGTTTGGGATAAATGTACATCGTTAATCAAATTGGTATTATCCGTACAAGAGCTAATCTCTTTTAGCAGGTTTTTGGGGTCAGTTACTCTACCATGGTATTCGATTTTCTAATCCATATTGACAAGTCGACAGCTCTTAAAATTCTCAAAAAATACCTAAATATCTACTTTTGTGCTATACCCAAATACATTAAAATGCTTTTAAATGTTTTTGAATCTCTGTTGTTTCTAATCTATCTCATTAACTTTTGGCATTGTTAACATTCACCTATGTTTGAAACAAGCGAATTTGACAGTATCTAATAAACCTGTGCATAAACTGTAATGAACTTCATCTACCTTTGAAGTAAATACTTTTGGACATAATATGAAGGAAATGGTCTTTTTACCGTTTGATATTAGCCTTGTCTAAAAATAATCTCTATTTTTGAAAGCATCTATCTATTTTACACTCTATTGTGACTCTGAAACTCGGTTGCAGCTTGAGCAAAGGCATATTCCCAATTTTTGAGTTCTGATTGTAACAATTGCATTGGCAATAGACGATTTTTTATTGGCCGGTTCTTGTTCTGCAAATCATTATTCTATGTATTGTATTTCAGACAATTCCAAAAACAACACAGTCGTTCTCCAATATTAAAGACATACATCTAAATCAAGTTGCCTGAAAGGGATTTTAACTATTTTAAAACGTTCTCTACGATTATAAGGCTATGAAATTAATTATTTAATAAACAAAAGCACATTCATGGCTTCTGTCCGCTGCTTATAACTGTTTAAAGAGTTGTCCCAAACTTAATGTGTGTAAATACATCAGCTGTTTGTAATAAACAATAACATTTAACCTGTTCTCCAATGGAGCAGCTCAGAGGCTGCGTCAAGAGCAATGTTATATTTGAGCTATTTTTAGATTTAAAATTGTGTTAAAGCCTGTCGTTCTATGTCTGCATTTTAATACTACTCTCTATAAACACCTCTGCACCAGTTCCTACAGATGTGGAAAACAGAAACATCTAAAATCTGACTCCATTTGATTCCTTTTTACTTTAGTTATTAGAACAATTTGACCTTATTGATACTTATTTCCACAATAGAACTATTTTGATTATTCACTAGTCTAACTATTATTACTATTGTTTATTCTGACACTTCAACCTATAGCTCCTCGAATCCAATGACATTATAGCTCCAGACTATTTCATTCTATTCTATTATTATCTTATTATTATATGATCTATTATCTTAAAGAGTAGATCTGTTTGATGTTATAAGCGCTATTATTTCTCCTTTTGAATTTGCACAACACTAAATTTAGAATGACCCCCTATGGGACAAATATAGAATTTTATTTCATTTTGGCAACTCCGAAAATTACTTAATAATTTTCCCATTTTGCTTTTTTAGGCTGCCCTTTCTATTATTTATTTGTTCTTGTAAATATATGTTTTACACTTCTTTCTAATGATTTAGAAGGTTAAGGACCATGACCACCTATGACAATACAATACTCCCCTCTGTTGGTCGTGGTCCAAAGTATAAAACATGCATCTGTGTGTGTGTGTAGATTACTGTTCCAATCCTGTTGCTCCTCCCGGATCGTCCTCAATTCATATTGTGGGCTTTGGTGCCAAAGTAGAGGCTCATTTCCTTAATTCATACTACTGTCATCCCTGAAGCAGGTGCAGTTTATCTTTCATCTGAAAAACAAACATTAGAACACAAGAAACGCCCACTTTCCTCTCTTCGCATGGTGCGGCCTGTCAATCAATCCAATTGGGCAAAACATAACTGCATTGACAGACGGTGTGTGACATCAGGGCAGAGGCTGTAGCCAAATACAGACTTAACAATATGTATGTTTCTAATTTTACACTCCCCTAAATGTGAGTTACAAACCAAAGTTGTCCTCCTCCCAATGACCGCTCACTGCGGTTGGACCGAATCACTGTCCGGACAAACAGCAGAGGGAGGGGCTCCCAGTACCTTCAGCGAGGTATTTCATCTCAGAGTACTTTCCGCAGAGTACTTTTCTCAGAGTACTCATCCCAGAGTACTCTCACTTTTACACCTGTTCAATAAAGCTTGTCATCTTTGAATCTCTAGTACTTACACCGTATGCTGTTGACAAAAAATAATTATTCCATGATCACATTAAAACATTACAGAAAACTTTGTTATTCCATGATTCCGTTCAGCACTCCTCGTTCACTCCACAACACACTCACAACACCCCACGTTAGTATTGGTCCAGTTTGTTAAGGTCAACGTAGTGTATTGGACATGACGCACAAACATATAACATACACAAACATATAACATACACAAACATATAACATACACAAACATATAACATACACAAACATATAACATACACAAGAGGCCTGTAATTTTAACTTTGTTATATTTTTCCATGTCCAATTACAATTGTCTCATGAGCTATTTTATAGTTGCAACTTTCAGAGCCTGCAGAACATGCAAAGCTTTGAGAGATTTTTCCTAAAAGGATCCATTTCAAACTTTAGTGTTTAAACCACGTGGTCTTTACTCGGGCTTGTCACAAACTGTGTCCCCTATATTTTTAATGAGCTCTTGTTACTAAAAAAAAACTCATGCACGTGCAATAAATGTTTTTCCCTTTTTTTTTTAAAGCCAGTTCGGATTCCTTAAAAATGTAAATTAGTTTCAAACTTTAATACTTCACCTTTGTTTCACGTTCATGTGGAGAAAAGACCATTGTTTTATGTGTGTGTACTTGCACCAATCATGTCTCAGATAAACTGCCAACAGTTGTATCAAAGACATAATTGTCCTAATTGTTTCTAATTTAGCTATTTGGAAGAGAAACATGTCATAAAAGATTTCAAAAAATGTCCCTACATCTTTGTTTTCAACCAATGAACAGTGTTGCGTCTATGTGCTCATTGGATCAGAAATGATCCAATATCACCTTTAGCCAAAATTCAGAAATGCTTTAAATCATTTTTCAAACTTTAATTGTCTGAACAAACCATTTTGTACTAAATGCAGCGTCCATTAAAAGCTGCAGTTCTCTTCCTAGCACCAGTTTCAACTGTGCATGTGATTGTTCTTAAATGAGAAACGAGCCACGGTTCAGAGGTTGAAAACACTGCTTTAAATATCCGTATTACCAAGATCATGCAGTTAAAATCAATAATTCTAAACTTCTCCGCGTCTATAACTTTAAATAATAATACTAGTTTCAATAATAGTGCTCCTCTACCTTAAATATACTGCTGTTCTAATCTCCTTGTGTCTCATGCTAAAGCAAGAGTCTAATTAATTTTAACGATTGTCCTGTATTCTTTCATGCAGCTAAATGTGGTGTTATGAACGAATGACCTAGCTAAATGTGTAAATATGACTTAATATGTCTCTGTGCGTTTGTTTGTCTGTATATTTACCTTCTGTCTGTCTCATTTAGCCTGGCCACGTCCTCTTATGGCGTCTTTCAATGTCTTTTGTCTCAAAGTGTCCGATGTCTTTGCCTCAATGCCTTTTTTCCTTCTTCTTTAAACAATCACTTTCTTTCTTCTTCTTTCAATAATCACTTTCTTTCTTCTTCTTTCAATAACTTTCTTCTCCTTGCAATGTCTTTTTCTTTTCAATCATTTTCTTCTTGTTAGGTTTTCCGGCGGTTGGCGGCCTATTTTTCGCATTACCGCCACCTTCTGTTCCGTAGATGGGACAACACTCAGTTTGTGAACAAGTCTGCGGTCTTTTCTTTGCCTCCTCACAGGCAGGAGGAGTCTTCTTCGAGAGTTCCTGTTAGCTGCTGCAGCCGATGCTGCCCCCTGCGACCCGCAGGGAGAGGGGGAGACGCTGATGATGATGATGATGCTCGGTTGTGGTTTGTGGCAGGGACGATTTTGGCGATCGGCCAATGAAACAGACAGAAGTTTTCTCAGAAAAAACAGACAAACAAGAAACACAAACAAGTGTGTTAATACAATACAAAACCAATGATTAATTACGAATCTAAGTAAACCTATGGAATAATTAATATTAACATTTTAAACATTAGATTCTGAAAACCGAATTCTGCATTCAACTGCTATCCTAAGCCCTATTTTTCCAAAAGTATAATGCTCTCTAAGATCATTCTAACTTTTATATCACCAAAATGTAGGGAAAAAACTTGTCTAGACGCCTTGGAGATAAAAAATAAAAAATAAAATAATGCCTCTTTATAATCTAACTCAAAGTTCTGTGATCCTATGACTCCATGTCAGTAACATTATCGTGTGTATAAATGTAATTTTCTACAAATCAAAAAATGTCTTTGGTAATAGTTCTGTCTTCACGAGAGAGAGAGAGAGAGAGAGAGAGAGAGAGAGAGAGAGACTTTACATTTTATCCTTAAATACGTCAGTAATGAAAAACATTACCATTTGCTACATGATTAATGTATCGAGAGTTCCAGCAGAATCTTTTTTTTTTTCTGATTCTCTGTAACTATCGAAACATTACATCAGAATACAAGAGAAAAACTCCCAGACTGATCTTTTGTCATTTCTTCACATGAAACTCGTATACTACAGCCAAGAGGCTCTCTTTTTCCTCATTAATCAGATCATTATTATCAGAATCCACATTTTAAATACTTGGCTTTTCTTCTGTTTAAATTAATTGTGCCCTTTTCCCCACCCCCGGGGGATATGGAGTTTTTATTATCCTATAACTTCTGACCCTAACTATCCCTATTTCTCTAATTCTATTCCTATTTTTTCACTAATTCCCTTGTGCCTCTCTGCACGAAGGTGTGCCTCTTTTGCACTTATAAACCCTGTGGCTCTTTTCCTGTATATTCTTTTTTAGAGAGAGACCAACATCCCTCAAGGTTCAAAAACGTCGAAAAACCTGACTATTGTTCTATCGCGTCCGATAGAACGCCCGTCACGGCGGTCTGGCCACGCTGCAGTCATGCTGGGCCGAGATCTCTCTGTCTTCTATTTAAAACAATGTGCAGACTTTAGAAATGGTATCTGCTTACCTGTGTTTTGCAGTAGAGAGAGCCCCAAGACCCAACAGACCCAGTCTATCTATCTGAGCTCATCTTGCGTCTTCTTTCTGTATCAAATCACGTCTCGGGTCACCAAATGAAGCCAATAATTCCCTTTGGCTGGCGTGTCCACAATTTGGTACAGAAATCAGACGAAGATATCCAAGTTTAACATCTGCATTTAATTATCTTTACAATCAGATACAGAATATTCAACAAAAAGGTGCTCCTAACTAATATGTCCCTCTCCTGGCCCTCGGCTGATTTCTCTCGTCTCTTCCCAAGCCAGAGCATTATGTTCAGGGAGCAGGGGGCGTGTCGTATCAGGGAGGTCCTGTGCCCAGGGTCCGATGACGTCACAGGTCTGAAACTGGTCTCTGGTCTGAGACTGGTCTGGTCTCTGCTTAAGCAAACAATGCCCCCACCCGTGCGGCGCCTGTGTAAACGCAGCTGCTGCGGGAGGGGGCTGCGGGGGATCCATAGGTCAAATTTGCCACACATGTGTTTATTCTGGGAGTCAATAATTGTCTGGCTTTTGTAAGCTGGTCCTCCTTTATGATTCTCGTACTTCTTGTGTCCTTGGGGTTTTTCCTGAGTGCACAGAGGTCTTTTTTTGGCTATGATGTTCAAATGGTCAAATATTGTCACATCTGAATAGTGTAGATTTAAAATATACAACAGTTTTTAAAATTATTATTATATGTTCTGTGTTTGATTTCTTCCTAATCTGTTGATGGTGAATATACGATAGTTTTGTAAAGTTCAGAGATGCTGTTTAGATTAGTGCTATAAATTAGATTAGTGCTATAAAATAAATGGAATATAATCCTGATATGCCGCACTTGTGATGGATGGATTGTCTCAACAGAAGAACAGAAGAAGTGCTCACTGAAACACATTTAGATATAATTCTGAACAATATCTGATCAAGAAGGGTCTATCGCGCATGTGGACAGAGTTTTATTTAGTTAGGTCCAAAAAACATTCATCTGTTAGGGGACTACGGGTGTAAATCAGCACTCCTTCTACAATCTGGATCCCTCCTTTTGCCTAATGTTTATTGTCAGCGTATGAATGTATGTATATGTATGTGTATATATACTGTATGTATAGATATCTACTTGCTGCTCATTTACAGCTAGCTAAGAAACATAGCAGCCACTTATATTGTATATTATGTGTGCTCCCTGTGTGCTCTTACTGTCCTGTATGTGCGCTGCAACATTGAAATTTCCCCACTGTGGAGCGAATAATAGCCTGGCCTTAGCCATTCAAACTCCAGTCAATTATAATTTCCCTACATGTACGTCTGGGTCTGATCCCAGTGGCAGCAGTTACCACGGCTGAATCACATCTGACCAATCATCGATTTGCGCCGAATATGCTGGTTGCAATTTGGCAACGACAGAGAATGCGATAGTAAAGTATTTTGTGCTGGTTCAGCTCCAAATATCAAGAAATTGAAGCGGGAGCAAGAGGAATGTTTAGCAAATGTCATTTCTGCAAAAATGTTGAGGCTCTTCTCCCCACAGGCGACATTAGATGACTAAAGCTAGGCTAAATGCTAAAGCTAGGCTAAATGCTAGCAACTCACTCGGGCGATCCATTCATTTCAATCTGCAAAAGGAGTTTAAACCCTCCCACCTGGTTACGGAGCTCAATGGAGCAAAAATAGACCTCAGTACCAAATGGAATTTGTACAATGGTTTGGTAAGACCAGGCTAGACGGATAAAGGTTCTCTTATCTCATTTTATTATGTTTTTTGTTCTTATCATTTGTGAGAAGGGTGCAGTGCTCGTACCTCTGGAAGGTGTCGGTCACCATGGCGATGAGCAGGTTGACGCACAGGATGGAGGAGGCGGCGAGGAAGGTCCCACAGAGCAGCGGCGCCATGACGGGGTCCCGGCCCTTCATGGAGGCGTAGTCGTACTCATCCACCAGGGTCATCCTGTAGAGCGTGAAGAGGAGGTCCCCCACTGTCTCCAGACCTGGCACCCACCCTGGACAACAGACCACATCCCCCATCATGCATCACTCTTTCAATGCACTCATCAAACTCTGCACACATGCAGTTGATAGAGATATCAGACATGGTTCAGAACTTTGCATAAGCCATCAATCAATGCGTCACTGACATTGATTGATGGTAGTAAATAAATAAAATGACCTCCAAAGATGATCCAGAAACTGCAGGCGTAGGGGATGAAGATTTCCAGATACAAGAAGAGAAACCGCATCACGTCCCCGGCCACGTTCCCCAACATGACGATGAAGGGCCCCATGAGCCTGAGGGAGAGCGTCATGAGGGAGAGGGTCAAGAGGGACTGGAACACCAACACAAGAACTCCCAGAGCAGTCATTTGGACGGGTTTTAGGTTTGAAAGTGCATTTACTCCGCTCATGTAAACTTTTTGACTTCATGACTTATTCTTGTTTCTATAAGTAGTTTATTCCTAAATCATTCTTTTTATATCATTATCTTTTGAATGTGAGAAGTTTGACATTTAACTAAATATCACTTCTTAACCGACTTGTTATGGCAGCTGCATCCCCTTTTTCAGGAAGCAGGATCTGGACTGTTTCTGGTTCTGGTCCAGTTGGATTTTCCACCAGAAAACAGCAAGTGCTAGTTACCATAGCAACACACTGTTTACACAATACAATACAATACAATGCCATTTATTCTTGTATAGCTCTAAATTTTTACTTGCCACTCGTTAGCATTTGGTCTTTAGCATTAGCCTTTCAATAAACTGTTTTGCTGTTATTACACTAATAAACAACTTTTAAACACTTACTTTTAATAAATCTAATGGAAGAAATTCTCAGTATTCCATCGATTTGAATGGGAGCAGTCGACGGCTCTGGTAGTCCTTATAGTTTCATATTTCTGGCAGTACAAGTGTGTGTGTTACCTAAAAGCTCGCACGTATTTCATGAGGCGCAGCCAGAGGAAGATGATGGCCACAGAGAACAGCCGCAGACTGGACACGTGCAGCGACACCGACGGCCGGATCACGTCAGCCACATGCACCGCGGCGGACACCCCCAGCAGGGCGTACACCAGCCAATCAGAGAGGTTCCTACACACAGCCAATCAGAGAGGTTCCTACACACAGCCAATCAGAGAAGTTCCTATACAGCCAATCAGAGAGGTTCCTACACATGGCCAATCAGAAAGGTTCCTACACAGCCAATCAGAGAGGTTTTTACACAGCCAACCAGAGAGGTTCCTATACACATCCAATCAGAGAGGTTCCTACACACAGCCAATCAGAGAAGTTCCTATACAGCCAATCAGAGAGGTTCCTACACATGGCCAATCAGAAAGGTTCCTACACAGCCAATCAGAGAAGTTTTTACACAGCCAACCAGAGAGGTTCCTATACACATCCAATCAGAGAGGTTCCTATGCAGCCAAACAGAGAGGTTCCCACACATAATCAACAACTCATTTGATATGTTTCAGTCCGGCTTTAGACCCCACCACAGCACTGAGACTGCTCTCGTCAAGGTTACAAACGATATCCGGCTGAACACTGACGCAGGCAAAGTCTCAATCTTAATCTTGTTAGATCTAAGTGCTGCCTTTGACACTGTCGACCATGAGATCCTCTTACAGAGACTAGAGGACTGGGTTGGAGTCGCTGGCACCGCCCTAAGTTGGTTTAGGTCTTACCTTGAGGACAGGAAGTACTTTGTGGAGATTGGAAACTGTGTCTCAGATCATATGGCCCTGACCTTTGGAGTACCACAGGGGTCGATCCTGTGACCTCTTCTGTTCAGGAGAACATGGACCAGTGGACTCACTCCTTCACTGTATCCAACAGATCAGTGAGTGGATGCAAAACAACTTCCTTCAGCTAAACGCAGACAAAACTGAAATGATTGTCTTTGGTCCCCAGAAACAAAGAGAGAGCGTCATCTGTCACCTACAGTCTCTCTCCCTAAAACCTTCAAACAAGGTCAGAAATCTAGGGGTAATACTGGACTCAGACTTAAATTTTAATAGCCACATCAAATCAGTAACATCAGCAGCTTTTTACCATCTAAAAAACATTGCCAGGATCAAAAACATAGTGTCTAAAGCAGACTTGGAGATTCTTATCCATGCATTTGTCTCCAGTAGGTTAGACTACTGCAATGGCCTGCTCACAGGTCTGTCCAAACAGGCTGTAAAACAACTGCAGTACATTCAAAATGCAGCAGCTCGAGTCCTGACTAGAACCAGGAAGTACGACCACATTAGTCCAGTTCTCAGGTCTCTGCACTGGCTTCCTGTGGCTCAGAGAATAGACTTTAAAACAGCTTTGCTTGTGTACAAGTCTCTCCATGGCCTCACACCAAACTATATTAGTGACATGTTAGTCCCATATGAACCAGCCCGGACTCTGAGGAGCACAGGGACTGGACTCCTGTTAGTGCCCAGAGTCAGAACTAAACATGGGGAGGCTGCTTTTCAGATTCATGCTGCTAAAATCTGGAACAGTCTTCCTGAAGATGTGAGACAGGCCTCCTCTCTGACAATATTTAAAACCAGGTTAAAGACGGTTCTGTTTAGCTGTGCATACAACTGAGGGATTTTATTTTATCTTTCTTTTTAATGTTCTGTGATTATTTATGATTTTAATGCTTTCTTGTTTTGTTCAGCACTTTGAATTGCCTTGTGTATGAATTGTGCTATATAAATAAACTTGCCTTGCCTTGCCTTGCCACATTGCCAATCAGAAAGGTTCCTACACACAGCCAATCAGAGAGGCTCATGTTATCATTGAGCACCGCCAATGACCTCAGCAGTAATCAGTCCTTGGATGATTCTGAATCAACCAAAGTTGGATTGTGAGATTATAGATAATTGTGCATATTACGTACGGTTCCTTTAAAACTAAACAGAAAGGGTATTTAGGGCCTTTCTTTTATGAATGGTCTTTGGAAAGACTTCAAAACCGGGTCTTAGACAATTGGCCCTGAAGCAGATCTAGACTGAAGCAGATCTAGACTGAAGCAGATCTAGATCGAAGCAGATCTAGACCAAAGCAGATCTTGACTGAAGCAGATCTAGACCAAAGCAGACTTGTCCTTTAGTTTTAGGGCTCAGAAGAGAAGCATTGGCCAATGAAACTCAAAACTCTGGGCCGTCTGCTGTATTCTGGGTGTAATCATTATTAGATAGTCAAATGTAAAGTCTGTCTGTGTGTTTTAGATTCTAAATATTGCTCCTTAAAGAAAAATATACTTCAAATGTATTTCTTTAACAAAAAATGTGTTTATTTTGGAAAACGTGCATCTTGAAAGGGAGGACTGTGGAATAAACTCCAGTCTCAAGGCTGTTTGGTCGCATGAGGTGATTAAGTTGAGTTTATGATGGACTGAAGATAACTATCAGACGGAGATAAGAACAGTTGGATTAGTAAAAGTGTGTTTGATGAGTGGGGGTGCTGTTACCAGAGGTCGCGGCTGTAGTTTCCTCTCATGTTCTGAGCAGACTTGAGTTGGTCTTGGAGGAAAACTCGGTCCTGTGCAAGCATGAAAACATACATTTCTTTGTATGGCATTATTGAAAGCTAGATCCCATCAGACCTCTGAAGCTAAGCAGGACTGGGCCTGGTAGCTGTGATGGTAGACCTCTGGGAACACCACAGTGGGGCGGCTGCGGCTGTAAAGTGTTGGATTATTGTGTTCTTAAGCGAGACATTCCATCGACATTAGAATGAGTCTGGTGTGTGTGTGAATGGTTGGTGATGGTCGGAGGGGCAGGTGGCACATACTGTTCGCCTCACTGTTGCGACCGTAGTAGTTTGTCAACATTGTGTATGGATATCAAACCAATGCCATTTTCATTATCATTCATAATGAAAAGGTAACCCACCTACACACCCAAACTGTGAAACCAAATGGACTGGTTTCACTTGGCTTTCACTTGTAAAATCCATGTTTGAATAAATGCTTTTTTACTTCTGACCTGGGGCCACATGGGATGGCACCCATGCAGGTCGTCACGGATACGACGCTTTGTCCACTTCCTCTGGAGGCGGAGCTTCCTGTTTGAGCGACGGATGTCAATCACCTCCCGGAGCACTTCCTCCACAGTGAAGAGAAGAGCGATGACAGCCAGAAGCACACGCCACCAGTCCTGGGAGCAGACACAACACTGACCAGAGAGACCAGAGAGAGACCAGAGAGACCAGAGGGACCAGAGAGACCAGAGACCAGAGACCAGAGAGACCAGAGAGAGACCAGAGAGAGACCAGAGGGACCAGAGAGACCAGAGACCAGAGACCAGAGACCAGAGAGACCAGAGAGAGACCAGAGAGAGACCAGAGGGACCAGAGAGACCAGAGACCAGAGACCAGAGACCAGAGAGACCAGAGAGAGACCAGAGAGAGACCAGAGGGACCAGAGAGACCAGAGACCAGAGACCAGAGACCAGAGAGACCAGAGAGACCAGAGAGACCAGAGAGAGACCAGAGACCAGAGACCATGGAGAGGCCAGAAAGAGACCAGAGAGAGATCAGAGAGAGACCAGAGAGAGACCAGAGATGCCGGAGAGAGAGACCAGAGACCAGAGAGAGACCAGAGAAAGACCAGAGAATACCAAGAGTCTAGAGAGAGACAAGAGAGACCAGAGACCAGAGACCTTAGAACAGAGACCAGAGACAAGATGTCAGAGAGAGAGACCGGAGACCAGAGAGACCAGAGACCAGAGAGAGACCAGAGAAGACAAGAGTCTAGAGAGAGACCAGTAAGAGAGAGACCACAGAGATCCTGTACATATGTATATGAATATTGGACATATTATTTCCACCGTTCTTATTAGTTGTTGTGTTGACGCAAATTGAAAGGTTTGTAAAAGTTTCTGACAGAGGGTTAGGAACAGAAGACTCATGGAAGTCCTTGGTTTGTAAAATATAACGTTTTGGCTCGGGAATGGAACCTTTAAAAAGAAAGTGAGGGAACCTGCGGCAGGACGTATCTCTGAGTGGAGCCTCTCGTCACAGACACAGAAATGGCCACTGTCGTCCAGGAAACGTTAAACAGGAAGTTCAGGACAAGCAGAAGCCACGCCCCCTTTCTGAAGAGAATGCAACACAGTGACATGACATCATTGTGAGAGTGTTTTAAAAAAAATATGACTTTGTTTTGTAATGACAAAACAAAGGTTGAATGAAGCCTGTTTTAAATAAAATAATAGTTTTACACCAATAAAGCCGCATTTGGTAGAAACTTATGCAGCAAAACCGAGTACCCTGGACCAGAGGGAATCACAATAGAAAGGACTACAGCAAGTTTATAGTTTCATTGGAGCTAGAAACACTGAAGCTGCACCAGACCCTCATGATCGGTCGAACATATTTGCCATAGCATTTACATAAACGTATCAACTCTTTTTAAATGTTTTTTATTATTACAGTTGTATGCATGTTTATTTGTGTACTGCACATATTTTAAAATTTCTCTTTTTTATTTTTTTGTTCAATGTTTTATTGTTTCCCAATATTCTTTCTGTGTCTGTTAAGCTCCCTGGGTCACTTCTGCATGAATGGTGCTTTATAAATTGATTTACTTTGTGTATTTACCACAGCTTCATTTTGTGTGTGTGTGTGTGTGTGTGTGTGTGTGTGTGTGTGTGTGTGTTTGTGTGTGTGTGTACACTGCTGTCACATACCGGCCGTAGAGTTCCCATTTAACCTCAATGAGCTTCAGGAACACCGGGTTCATGATGAGGTCCAGTTTCCCCTGATGCACGACCACCTCCAGCTGTGACAGAAGCACACACAGACTGAGAGAACCCAGGGACATGTGTGTAAATAAAGGAAAACATGTTACTGTCTCTATACTATCAAAATCTCTGGAGTCTTGGTATTTATGTGGCACATCCTAATATGGCGTCTCGGAGTAAGACTGGAACCTGCATGAATCGCTCGATAAAGAACTGTAGAACATGAACAAAAGCTGAGACTCACAGGAGAAGTGGGGTCCCTCAGATCAGCCTCTGTCACACAAGAACAACGGTGCATTAGTGACGTCTTAGTGAAATAATCCAAACAGATGTGTGGCTTTTCCCTGTATCTTTCAACATCAGGAGGATGTCACCCGTTCGTCAGATTTTCTGACAAAGTTTCAGACAAAGATGGAGTTTGCAGATTTAACTACAGCTATTCAAACAATTAAGTTATAAATCATGCAGATTGAAAAGAATTACAACAAGATGGAAACACAAACTGGTTGTATCGCTTCTGTCAGTGTGCCCCAAAGCAGCTGTGGCTACAGTAGTAGTTTATCACTACCACATGAAAGAATAATGACAATAATAATAAGTGTCTTTGAGTGTCCAAAAAAGCGCCATATAAAAGTAATGCATCATTTTACTTGAGGTCTAATGCTCCTTTTGCTTCTTCATTTACTGTCAGAATGTGTGGTTTATTTAAAGGGTTCCTCTCCTCCTTGGGTCACGCAACATGTGGCGAATGTGTCTAAATGTGCATTTTGGGACGTACCAGCACTGAGCGGGTCGACAGGCTCTGGCTCCAGGAGGTTTAGGTGAAAGAACTGCTGTCTGCTGATGGAGTCCTGCGCATGGAACTGACCCAGAGCCAACTCGGCCTAAAACACAAGAGTTCATTAACTAAGTGTTCTGTAGAGGAATGGTTTATGTAGCTCAGGGGGAATACAGAAACCTTCATTCACAGGTGACACTGTGGCCCCTCAGATATCATTATTATATACTGTATATTGTCTGTTCATAAAAACTCGAAGGTCTTGAAAGTGGCGGACCACATGTGCTACTAGCCCGGCTGCCGGTGGACATTTTCCCATGGACATCGATGTTAACAAAAACAGCTCATCCTCAGCTGACAGGAAAACTAGTTTTCAGATGCCCAACCCGAAGAAGTGTGTTTAGACCGGAGCACCTGGAGAGAACCTACGCAGACACAACATAGTGTTGTAAACTTCAAAAAGGACGGCGAGTGCCAATGTTGCTCACACAACAGGCAACTGAGATTTACATCAAACTGACAAATATTTTGTTGAGTTCCAACATAAACAGCCGACTGACTGAAGTATTGACTGGTTTAAATGTTCCGCTTGTCACAAAGCTAATAGTTAGCAAATGTTGTTACCACAGGAGACATGTGGCTGATGAGAGCAGTGATGCACAGCTGTCCGTCACAGTCTGTAAGTCCCGCCTCCGCACCGAGCTCCAGCAGTGTGCGCGCCGCTGCACTGCGCTCTGAAAGCCACAAACTCATGTTATCTGTGACTCTGCAATCATGTCTATAACATGAGGACTACCAGAGCCGTCATTTTGACTGCTCCCATTCAAATGAATGGAATTCTGAAAAATGTGTGAGATTACCATCAGTTTTATTCAGATGTACCTTTACTAACCTTTGGTTACGAGTAAAGACTGGTGAATATAACTTGAAATATAGAAAAACATTGTTTGTTGAAAGGCTAATGCTAACTAGTGATTTATTACTAGTACTAGCTTACGTAATACATTTAGTTTTATTTCATGTAAGATGATATAGTTTTTGTTTATAATGAAACTCTGGCCTTGTACCCATGTTGGCGGCGAGCTGCAGAGGCGTTCGAAGCTTGTAGTCCACAGCGCTCAGAGAGGCTCCGTGTTGCACCAGGAGTCGAATTGACTGCACAGCATCACACTTAGCAGCAAAGTGCAGAGCAGTCTGAGAGAGAGATGTGCCCATGTCCGGATCGGCTGAGGAGAGAGGAGCAAGAGGGGTGAGAAGGAGAAAGGAGAGGAGAGAGGAGTGAGACGGGAGAAGAGGAAAAGGGAGAGGGGTGAGAGGGAGAAGAGAGAGGTGTGACAGGGAGTGGAGGAGAACCTGCGCCTCTTATCTTGTGGGTTTTTCTGACCGTGTCTCTGCAGCAGAAACAGAACCATGTCACTGTAGTCCAGCGCTGAGGCCACGTGAAGCGGCGTGACTCCAAACTGATCTGGAGTCAGCAGGTCTGAGCCACGATCCAGGAAGAACCTCATCACATCTACACTCCAGGCACGAGAGATCTGTCACCACACACACACACACATACTTCAAAACATGAAACAACCCCCAATGTAAGATGAGACAAGATGAGGACCTCGTGAAGAACCGTCTGCCCAAAGCAGTCGCTGGTGTTGGGGTTAGCTCCATGTGAGAGCAGCTCATCCAGAAGATCCAGGTCCACCTCAATCACAAAACCAAAACAAAAACAGATTCAGAAAGCTCTTATAATTGTTAAGTTTACATCACAACGATCATCTATAACACTCAGGAGACAAAGTGAAGTGACATGTGTCCACTGTAAACGAGTCAGTTGTCATGGTAACAGTTAGAGGATGGCGATTGTTCCCAAAGTGATGGTTACCATGATAACACTTGCTTTAATGATGGTTGCCATGGAAACAGTTGCCAAGGTGATTGCCATAACAATGGTTGCCATGGGTATCACTTGCTAAAGTGATAGTTGCAATGGTGACTATTGCCATAGCAATGGTTGCCATGGTGACTATTGCCATAGCAATGGTTGCCATGGTGATTATTGGCATAGCAACCATCACTATGGCAATCACTATGACAACTACCCTGGTAACCATCACTTTGGCAACTGAAAACAAACTCCCAAAAAAAAGAGCTCCAAGAAATTCACATTAAAACAAGATTTACCAGATTATCTGGCCGTTGTTATGGTAACAGTTGCAAAGGTTATTGTTTCCATAGTAAAGGTTGCCATGGTATCTGTTGCCATAGTGTTGGTGTCCAGGGTAACAGTTGCCATTGTGATTGTCATGGTAAAGTTTGCTGTGGTTCTTTTGTTACGAGATGCCATGGTGACTGTTACTATAGCAACGGTTGCCATGGTGACTTTTGACATTACAACAGTTGTCATGTTGACTATTTCCACAGCAACGGTCGCCATGGTGATTATTGCCATAGCATAACATGGTGACTATTGCCATAGCAACGGTTGCCATGGTGGCTATTAACATAGCAACGTTTGCCATGGTGCTACGTTTACATCACAGGAATCTTCTATTACACTCAGGAGACAAAGTAAAGACATGTGTCCAAACATCTCTCTCTCTCTCTCTCTCTCTCTCTCTCTCTCTCTCTCTCTCTCTCTCTCTCTCTCTCTCTCTCTCTCTCTCTCTCTCTCTCTCTCTCTCTCTCTCTCCATCTCTCTCTCTCTCTCTCTCTCTCTCTCTCTCTCTCTCTCTCTCTCTCTCTCTCTCTCTCTCTCTCTCTCTCTCTCTCTCTCTCTCTCTCTCTCTCTCTCTCCCTCCCTCCCTCTCTCTCTCTCTCTCTCTCTCTCTCTCTCTCTCTCTCTCTCTCTCTCTCTCTCTCTCTCTCCTCTCTCTCTCTCTCTCTCTCTCTCTCTCTCTCTCTCTCTCTCTCTCTCTCTCTCTCTCTCTCTCTCTCTCTCTCTCTCTCTCTCTCTCTCTCTCCTGCATCAGCAAGGAAAATGAGAACCGTCCTTCTGTTACCTGATCAGTGTCTTGGTTGTGAGCTGCCAGTTCTCTAAAGTGGTTCAGAAGTCTCCTATTGAGGTGTCTGTTCTGAGTTTGGGTCTGGTCCTGGTCCAGGTCTTGGGTTGGGTCCTGCTTCAGGTTTGAGTCCAGCTCGTCCTCTGTGTCCTGGGATAAGCCTCTGTATCGCTCCTCAGGCTTCACCCCTGCATCACAAAGACACGTTCCCTGTTACGTCGAACACTGCACAAGATCCTGTATCCTCCCTCCTCTCAATTCAAACTGTTGACATTTGCCAACATAGATCAGATTATTGTGTTACTTAAGATTCCTCCTAATTTGGGTTTATGTATTATGTACCTAATACCTAATTAGTTATTTATTTACCTAATTAGTTATTTATTTAAAGCTCATATTTTGCTGGCTATTTAATTTCTATATTTATTTATTTCACTTACAGTATGAAGGCAAAATTATTTCAGTATTTTTTGACTTTCAGATTACAGGCTTGGACTGAATCAGAACTGGACAAAAAGTAAGGCTTGTTAATTTCAGATCAATAGATCAAGTATTAAGTATAAATAAACAATGTGGCTGCAGAGAACTATCTTAAAAATGACATGTGATGGCAGCCCATATATTCCACTTACTTTGAATAAAAAACACTGGTAAAGACTGTCCAAACTAACGTAGATGGATCAAAGCTGCTGTTTGTGACCACTATGGAGTGCTTCACATACCTGTGTCCAGGACATTAGCTTTAGCCTGGATCTGGAGGAGAGGGAGGAGAGAGGCAGCCGTCTGACACCCAGACCTCCTCTCCCCAGCGGCAGAGACACAGTCCCTCAGCGTGTCCTGGGTCCTCCCCCAATGTGCACTCAGGCAGCCTCAAAACCAGATCTTGTCGGGGGGAGGAGCAGTGGATCTAGTCCGAGCTCCTCCTGTATGACTAGGCTCCTATCGCTCTGCTGTGTATGAGTTGTATTTATACCCAGTTTGTTCTTCCTCTGTCTCCATCGGCCGCAGGAGTATGAGGCCCAGCGAGCAGCAGACTTCACCACCGCTCGAACCGTCGTGAAGCTCTGAGGAACAAAGCAGAGAAGACACTTCAGAAACACACACCAGCAAAGTCACTTCAGAAACACACTTCAGAAACACACAACAGCACACGACCACACAGAGACACAAGCAGGGGTTTTTCTGGTGCTTGGAGGGTCTAAGGACAGGGATCCGTGACAATTAAGATTAAGAATGAGATTAGAGATAAGAGATCCATTATTTGTCCCACAGTGGGGAAATGTCAGTCTTGCATCACAAGTTAAAGAACAGTAGGATGAGAAGCACACAACACAAGAATAATTGAACAAAGAAGTATAACAAACTGTACTCTAGTGCAGGGAATATATGCTTGTATGTATACATCTGTAATACAATAAGTATTTCTTTGAGCAGTATTGTTACTGCACAAAAGGAGTGGGCTGAAGCAAAAAGCTGATGAGGATCTGTAATACATATTATATAAGTCATGCCATTGTTCACAGTCTACATGTTAGAAGCATGTACAGTAGTGTCTCATGCTGCTAAAAGCCTGGACAACATTTGCGGATATTACTAACATCTCTGGACAGTGGTCGTCCCGCTTGCTATGATCCAATGGTTCAAATGTGTTTGTTATTATTGCATTTACTGTCTTTCTCCCACTCCTTTTTGAGTAGAATTATGTACAGTATTGTGGATTATGGATGTATTTATTATGCATGTTAGAGCATTGTAAAAACTACAACAATCAATAAATATCAGAATGACATGTTCTTCTAAACCAGACACATATGTTGTTACATGTATCTTACATTTGTCTGGTGTAGATAAATAACTTAATATAAGAAGACAAACAAGATGAACCCTCCTAAACTTATATCAGAATCATTTTCACTTCCACTCACCTGTGCAGCGCCCAGAGTTTTGTCCTTATTTCCCTCTTTTGACGAACCTGCTTGTGTCATTTCCATCTCCAGACCTGGATTCTCCACTCCCCTGAGCATCGAGCCCTGGGAGCTGTTCATTCCAACACCGTCCATCTCATTTGAACCAGACTCTAGACTCTTTGTCAGGTCTGGTTCTGACCCGGCTCTGACCCTGCTCTGAGCCACACACGTGCTGAAGCCGGCTGCGTTTCTCTGCTCAAAACACAACAATAAAAGCTGATACAGTTTGGGTGCAGTGGTTAAAGGTCAGGAAGAATTGTCTCATAAACTCCAGCAAATGTGTCTCAAATGTAGAGAGACAGGCATTCTTGAATTATCTGAAAGTTTTCGGTAAATTCTACATGTATAAATAGAGGCTGGCAATCTGCTTATTGGCTTATTGTAGAATGAATCTGGTCGAGTGTACAAATATTAAGAGTAAATAGCCACAAATACATGAATCGTTAGGAATAATAATCTAAATTAATAATCCCTGGGGTCCTGCGTTTCTATGAAAATAATTATTCCAAAGAAAATGTAAATTTTGACTCTGAGCTGACTTTTAATACCTATAATAAAGCCTGAGTACTGGATCTACAGATTCAGGCTTTATTCTGTCTCTGATTTTTGAGTGGTTTCTTGCTGATGCAGGAGGGTCTACGGACAGTGGTCATCCCGCCCCCTCTGGCTCTCTGATATGTGATGGCGAATTGACAAGTTTGTATTGTCCACCAAGAATGTTATGATTTCGGCTCACACACAAATACATTGAAATTTATATTAAGAACATCACAAAAATAAGTTTTTATAATTTAAATAACATCGCCAGAGTCCGCCCCATTCTCTCTCGGGGCAACAGACGCTGATGATGCTTTTATCACTGGTGGTACTATAGACTAGTGTAATGCCCTGCTCTCTGCTCTCTCTCTTACTATAACAATTCTCTTACAATTACTCCAAAACTTGGCACTATGTAATTATTAGACAAGCTTGATTACCTATTATGCATTGTGCTTTTACTCTTCGACACTCTTTCAATGTGATCATCATGGGCTGTAAAGCACTTTGTGGTACATTTTTGTATGAAAAGCGGTTTATGAATAAAAATTATTGAATCTGTCTCTGTGTCCATAGGCAAGACACTTCACTCCCATTACTTAAAATGCATCTGGTGAGTGCATAACTGGTTGGTGGTCTGCCCCAGGGCAGCTGTGGCCTCAGCAGTAGTTTATCTCCACTGTGTATGGGGTGAAAACATGCTGTGAATGTATTTGAGTTTCCAAAAAAGCTTTATACTATAAAAACCAATGCATTATTATCCTTTGAGGTCCACAGGATTCATCAAACCAAAACACAACACAAGCCATTTTAAATATCTCCAAAGATAAATAATTTATTGTACATAAATGTACAGAATAATCATAAAGTCCATTCTTGATTGTTGCTGGTCCCACTCCCCGGTCCCGCTCTGGTTACACTCTGGTTCATGTCCTGCTCTGGTTCAGGTCCTGCTCATTCAAACCAGTGGTCTCCCATACAGTCTCTGTTCCAGGGCACGGCACAGACCCAGCACCACTCGGCCTGACACAGAGGACAGCGCATGTGACTGCAGCCTCCTGCAAAACACAGGAGAAATATTATTATTCTTATTATTACGAGGATAATGATGAATAAGCCTTTTTCCCACTGCTCCTCAGTGTGCCGAAGTTGGAGAGTTGTTTTAGACCCTCAGATTTTTAAAAACTCAAGACTTTTAAAACATTGCAGTAAACACAGGGAATTGTATTGTAAGGGACTACTACTCCAAGGTTATGATCCATTCGAGGGAGCGGATAACTCTCTTAATGTGGGTCTCCCCGAGGTTTCTCCCTTTTCTCCCACTAGGTTTTAGAGTTTTCCTCTGATGCAGGAGGGTCTGTTGGTCAAGTTATGGTATTGCTTCGGCACGCTTGGAACCACAGTCAAGGTGGTGCGAAAAAAGTACCCTTATCTCAAGCCCAACCCTAGTGGAAATGCAAAATAACCGCGCCGTGCCGCACCGTTACTGTGGAAAAGCGGCATAACATTCTACAACATGTACTGTATGAACACTAATCAACAATATTGGATATTGGTCTCTCCCTATGAACCAATACATATGTGTTCTATATTTTTTTGCTTGAACTGTTGATTCTCTGATTCTGTTTTGGTGAGTTCAATGGTTTTGTTTAATCCTCTGAGATCACTGCTGTTGTGACTTAGGGCTATACAAGAATAAATTGTATTGTATTGTATTGTATTGTAGTGTGCTGTGGATGTACCGTTCTTCTGAACAGGAGCGCTGCACTGGGGACAGGGTTTGGTGGATTCTTTGATGAACAGCAGTGAGTCTCTGTCCCAGCGCGACCGCAGAGACGCCTCAGTGTCCACAGCAAACCCCTGAGAGCAACACAAAAACGACACATCGACACACAGCCGAGCAACACAAATCTAGAGCCGCATCTTGTGAAGACTGTTTCTCTGCCTGGAAATATCAAGATTTTAGCGAGTCTCCTTATTACCTGTGGAGTGAGCGGGGCTCCTATGTCTGGCCCCTCCCCCTCAACGGCAGGACACGCCCCCAGATGGTAGTCTTGGCAACAGTCTCTGCAAAACACCAGGCCACATCCGGCTCGAATGTCACACTCCACTCTTCTGTCCTGAGCCATGAGTCCCGCTCCGCAGCCAGGACCAGGACAGAGGAGGCCCCCAAGGGACAGGACGCACTGCTCTGCCCCGAAACGCAGGTACCGCTCGTACTGAGGAGAGTCGGGGCAGGAGGAGATGGAGAGGAGAAAGGTGATTTCCCACATAGCTTGAATACACTGCTTTCCTCTAGTCCAGGGCTGGCTAACTGGTCCGAGAGTAAAAGTCACAATCTTCAGGTGTGGTCCTGTAAAGAGCCACACTATACAAGCATGCGAGCCCCAGTTGTTGTATATTTTTTGTATTATTCTCCTGAAAGTTTATAATAATACTGTCCATTCTTATTGAAAGCCACACGTGTCAGCTCCCAAACTCTTTGGGAATTATGTTTCTATCTGCTACAGAAGCTCAGATATCAATCATTTAGAAGACGTTGAATTTCAGGAAAACTCCGGGTTTTAGAGGGTGGTTCTAAAGTCAGCCATAGGTTTTACAGGTATGTTTTACAAGGTGTGTCAGGCCTTAAAGGTGCAGTAATTTAAGTGATCTTGTTAGCATAGCCGTAGCACCATCTCGAAACCACTCCCCTCCTCCCCTCGCCTCTCCACCAAACCAAACATCCAGCATTTTCTTTTCTTTGTCACAACATGGAGAGTGGGCGGCAAATGTGAAATGAGTGTAGTGGTACGCGCATACCCACTGGTGGCCAATCACGCTGCGGCAGGGCCTTGATTACGGGAACTAGTTTCACCTGTCGCGTCTCTCTCCTCACCTCTGGCGTCTGCATGCTGCGTGGCGATCTACTTGGCTTCGTGTGCTGGCGTGCGGGCCATCCTTATTTGTTTGGCATTGAGTACATTGCACTTGCGGGTTTTTGCGCTTGCTCAGACCTGTTGTCGGATTTAGAGCGCCTCCTCGGTGAGTACTGGGACACTCCCATTCATAAATTGTTCCTTCAGAAGGCCTAACTCGGCTTCGTTTTTAGGCAGCGGTGCAGGCTTGTGGGCTGCATTAATTCCCTGCAGTGTGTACAAATACGGGGAATGTGAATATTTCCATCTTGGTAAGCCATTTCATCATTCGTATCAGTTGATCTGACATATGTATTATATATATGTATATATATATATTATATATGTGTATATATATATATTATGTATGTGTATACGATTTGTGTTTATTTATTTAGATATATATTTATACATATATTAATATGGGCTTTCATTCAGTGGTGTGCGCCCCGCCTGGGTTAACGGGCACCTTCACGCTACACTCTAAAACGGCAAGATCTTGGTATGTATGGTTCTACAGTTCATAGCCTAGGTGTATATCTCTCTATCAGTCTCTCTCTCTCTGCTCTCGCTCTTGCGCGCTTTGCTCTTGCTCCCTCTTTCACTCTCTGGTTCTCTCTGCTCTGGCGCTCGTTTTCTGCGCTCTCTCTCTCTCTCTCTCTCTCTCTCTGCTCTCGCTCTTGCGCGCTTTGCTCTCGCTCCCTCTCTCACTCTCTGGTTCTCTCTGCTCTGGCGCTCGTTTTCTGCTCTCTCTCTCTCTCTCTCTCTCTCTCTCTCTCTGCTCTCGCTCTTGCGCGCTTTGCTCTCGCTCCCTCTCTCACTTTTTGTTGTATTTTAAAAGACACATATTCAAAAGACGGAAACTTCCCAAGAGACATTCTATGGGAGACAAAGTGGTCTCTAAAAATGGCAGCTAAGCCTCCTCCTTTTTTGTTTTCCCGTATTTCAGATTCAAATTTGAAATTTGGTGGTGATGCTTCTATTAAAACTGCATTTTCTGTATTTTGGTCAAGCCATGTTTCAGCCATGAACATAAGATCAAGATTATAAGAACAAATAAAATTATTGATTAAAAAAGACTTGTTAGAAAGAGATCTGACATTTAGCATAGCAAGTTTCAAAGTTTCAGTATCAGCGGTTGTGGTCGGCTGATTCTTACACGGAACAAGAATTAGATTTTCCAGATTAGACTGATTAACTCCAGATGTCTTTCTGTAATGTATTCTTTTGTGTTATCACTAAGGGAATGGCACAGGTGGCTTCATGACAGGGCCCCAGCCGGGTCTCTCCTCTAACTAGACTGCCAGTGGCTGCGAAGCAGAGACCCTGTGCATCCTAGGGAGAGGAGGGAGGAGGATGGAGAGGTGGGTGGTTCTTGGGTGTTGGACGAGGGGGGGTTGGAGGTGGATGGGTGTTAGGGGAGGGGCAGGAGTTGGGAGATAGACGAGGGGGGAGTGGAGGTGGAGGGGTTCTTGGTGATGGGAAACGAGGGGGGGTGGGGGTGGGGCTGGAATGGTTTTGGGGTTAGGGGAGGGACCTGTGGATTTTGCGGGTGAATTCGAGTTAGAATTTGAGGGACGGGTGGATTTTGTGGGAGAATTTGAGTTGGACGCCCTAGGTGGCTTTGGAGGTACGTATGGGGAGAAGTTATGAATGTTAGATAGGACCCTTGAATCTGGCTACAGTGGGTGTGAGAGGAATATTCTTCATCGCCGATCTTATCATGCCTGCAGAGTGTTCCGGTAAATCCAATAGTGATGGAAAACACAGGGAAAGGTCGTCCTCATGTTCCTTAGATGGAGTGGATGTAGCGGGGGGGACCCAAACCGGGTCCATGGAAGGTGATGAGGGAGTCTTTGGTGGAGACGGAGGTGGTTGAGAGGCCCCCAGTGCAGGCCTGACTGTAGCCTGTAGCAATGGGGGGGGCTTCACGGGAGCTGTAGGTGGGGAAGGTGCTGCTGAAGATGATGCAGCAGCCACAGCTGGTGCTGGTGGTGCTGATGCTGAAGGCGCTGATGACGCTGTGGCAGCCACTGCTGCTGCTGGTGCTGGATCCTTTGCTGATGATGATGCTGGTGGACGTGTTGAGTTCTTTTGAGGCGGTGGAGGTGCCGAGACCTCTGGGTTCCATGAGGGTCTCGCCCTTTGTATCCTCCTCTCTTTCAACGGCTGAACGCGCTGCGCAGGCTGAGGTCTTAAGGCAGATGCAAAGTTATCCATCAACACTTTTACTCCGTATTTGTTCAGATGTGGGCCTTTCCCTTCAAAGAGCTCGAGCCTATTCCAGAACAGATTGAAGTTTTCAATGAATCCAAGTCCTCTGCGTGAACACTCATTGTGTAGAAATGAATTTAACTGGTACAGACGGCTAAACTTCTCGATTTTTCCATCTGCATTTGGAATGGGGCCACTGATTAGCACGTTTAACTCAATTTTTTTAAGGTCATCCAGCAGCAGAGAGAAATCTCTTCTCAACTTCTCGGTGGATTTCTCATAAATGTCTACTGCCCCTGTGTGTATCAACAATGTACTTACATCCTTGGTTTGAGATAAAACTTTTGGCACCAAAGCTCTTATCTCAGACACTCTGGCTGAGTGCAAAGAATAAGTGTGTGCAAAGTTCAAAGATACATTCCGAATGGCTGAATCTCCAAGCAGCAAACACCGTGGCCTTGACGGAGGGGGAGAAACAGACTGTGGCTTTGCTTCTTCAAACAGAGCAGCATAACGATTTGAAGTTTTGCAAACATTTCGTGGCAGAATTCCACTCCCATTGTCATTCTTAGCTTTGTCAACTTTGGGTTTAGCGCCGCATTTATTCCAATAGTTCTCTTTGTTGATTTTGGGAAAAGTAATTACGTCATCATAACTTACATTTCCAGTCTGTCCATTCATTCCATTTTCACACATTGGAAGAGTCGGGTTAAGTCCCATTTCTGTTTCCAAAATATCCATCCGTTTTTGAAGAAATTTGAGCTCATTTTCCAGAGAGCAGCAGCCATCGCAGATTTGTCTTCGTTTCTTCCGTCCGGACATGATTAATGTTGACAAATTTCACAAAGCTGAAGTCTGCAGAAGGAGTAATCCGTGTTTTGTAGAATAAAAATGTAAATAAAGCGATTAAAAGAGATTACAAAGCGAAGCAAGCAGCGGAGCACCAAGGAACACGTCTACACACTTCCACTGCGGAAGTGCCGGAACACACAAAAACACACACACAGAGCCACTGGTCCATAGAAGCAGTTACCGGGTGGAGTGTGGCTTGGGTGTGAGACTCTGTACTCGGGCTAAAGTCCACACTAGCTGCTCTATGTTTAGCATTAGTGATATGCAAACACAAACAGCGAATGGAATGTTTATATTAGTTCGTTTTTTTAACAATTTGTTACAATGTTCACTGTGGCTTATTGTTGTCCAATGAACGCTAGTTGGTGTAAAATGCATCTTTCTTTTAGCGCATTATGTAGATGAATTAATTTATCTAAAGTAAAGTCAAAGTCCCAGCCCTAGTAAGAAGTTTTTATTTTCTCAGCTCTCAGAGGTTTTAAAGTAGTTCTAATTTAGACACATATAATTTGCTGCTATAGTCTGTAGTTGTGGTGAGCATTATGGTGCTTTCAGACCGGCAACGCTGAAACGCACGTTCTCTAGTTTTCAGACGCAGGGGTCTTCAGACCAGAGGTCCTGGCGCACGCCGGAAGTGCCGGAAGTAACCGGCGGGCTCTGATGCTAACAGAGTTTAGCTAGCGGCTTCTTGTGTAAAGATCTTCTCCAATGATGCAGCTTTGCAGCGTGTCTGTGTTCAGAGACCTTCCACGGACTTTATATAACAGTAGTATGTGTTCACGGAGATGCGCAATACGTTTATTTTGTTATTGAACGGTACTTCCGCATCGGCGAACACACTCGAGGCAGTTGCATAAAGTCACGGGAGCATGAAAACTCACATGTTAACAAGCACTATGTCCCCCATTGTCAACCCTGGTTTGGTCCTGATGTAGCTCCTGTTTTGGCTGTTTAAGAGTATTTTCAGTGTGCTCGCTCAGACCGCTAATGTCCCCGTGACCACTTTACGGCTCTCTGATTGGTTCCTGCACGAGCGTCCCGAGGAAAGGTTTAGCAAAATCCATCTCCTGCGTTCCTCCCCTTCGACTTCCCAGCGCAGTCCGTGCGTGCATTCCGAGGACGTTTGTGCGTTTTGACGCTTGAACGCATGATCCGGTCTGAACGCGGCATTAGAGCGAGTGAAAGAGTTTCCAGATGCCCTGAACACTATTTAAACAGTTTTAAAGTTACCCAAGTCCTGTTATTTGAATACTATGAACAATGGATCAGAATGATGTCTGTAGTGGACAAGAGATACAATCCTAATCCTTCTTCTGCAGGTGACTGAAGCTGTCAGTGAGACCTCTGATTATGTTATGCAGCCTTTAAAATGGAATGTCAGTGTTGATCCCGGTGTTGAACTCACCCCGCGGCTGCAGCCTCTGGTCCGCCGCTCGCTCTCTGCTCTCTGGGGCCTCAGGAGGGCCGAGGTCCACACGCGTCAGACTCACTTGGTCCTGCTCTGAACCCTGGTCTGAGTCCTGCTCTGAGGATCTGGAATGGGTCCTGGGCAGAACCACATGGACCGTACTCTGCTCCGGGAGGTCGCAGCTCTAAGAGACAAGAGCAGAAAGGACAAGTGTGTTATGGGAGACATATTCATTGTAGTTTTGTTTAGAGCTTTTAATCATGTTACACCATTATTCCTCAGACACAGAAGTTGCAGTAGACGTAAACGTAAGAAAAACGTAAAAAGTCATTATGACTTGGCCTCATGATGTTGTTTAGTGACCAACACAATCTGACCACAGCTCTGAGGCCTCTCAGAACCTCTGCATTTATACTGAGAGTAGATGACACACAGGAGACCTCTATTTCATCATTATGGAAAGGTGTGAGCATTCAGCAGTCATTATGACTGTTCTAATGCTGTAGGAATACTTGAGGAGGCCCTACTTTTCACGTTGCTATTTTTAAGACAAAAACAGAATCATGAATCATTTTACTTTCACTTCACAGTTTGTTTCTTGTGTGTGACATTTCAGTAAAAAATTCAAGATAAAATCTTTATGTTTCTGGTTTAGAAGTTCAAGGTCTATTAATACTTTTGAGAGGCACTGTATGTACGGCCTAAACATTGAAAAAGAAACCAAGAGAGACCAAAATAAGATCTTCTGAATGAGATCGTCAATTCAAGCTTACAGCGCCTTCTAGTGGCTGTCAGTGTCAACACATCGCAGAACTCGACCACTGCATCATCGATAAACCGTCCCTTTAACTTTCGTTCACACATTTGGCGGCACGGTGGCTGAGTGGATAGCACTCTCGCCTCTCAGCAAGAAGGACCTGGGTTTGAATCCCGGTCGGACCAGGGTCTTTCTGAGTGGAGTTTGCATGTTCTCCCCGTGTCTGCATAGGTTTCCTCCGGGTACTCCGGTTTCCCCTACCACTAAAAATATGTACAATAGGTCTGGCATGCGCCTCCTGTTCGGCGACCCCGCTCCCATCTCTGTGTGGAGTGAGAGGACAAGTGCCCAAAAAATAACAATTGTAAACCGCTTTGTGACTCTGGTCTGTGAAAGGCGGTATATAAATAATGATTACTTACTTAAATGCCAAAGCAAACATTAGAAATGCATAGTGTCTGTTGTAATGCAGCGCTTTACCCTGAGTGTGGCGCAGTTGAGCAGCTCTCTTCCAGCAAACACGACCCGTAGCTGCTCCGACTCGATGCCCAGGCGCCGGCCCACCTCCCGCTTCAGGTCCCTGACTTGGGCCTGGTCCTCCACCTCCACGGGGACCGGGGCGCCCTGGTTATAACACACCCACACTGCAGGCACAGGGAGACCACATCAGGAGAACCAAACAATATACAATATACGGTTATTTCTATATTGTCAATGTGAGCTTTATTTGTATAGCACATATACAACAACACTGACCAAAGTTCTTCACAGGCACACAAAAAAATTAAAAAGTTAACAAAAAAATAACATAAAATACACAACACAACACTGAGTTGCTGAAGGCTCAGGCCCAGGCAACAGTACAGAGAGTTACCCTAACATTGAGGAAATAAAAAGGTGAATAACTCGCTCAAAGTCAGTGGGTGGAATACAGGCCTTCACTTTGGTCAATAAACTGATAGAATAGTAGAGATAAAAAATGTGCTGCATATTTCAAGATGTGCTCAAGTTTTGTGTAGACACCCTGGACTTGAGTGTGTATGTTTTAATGTTTTTGAAGAAAAATAATAAATAAGTAAATAAAAAAAAACAATTATATATAAATATATATGGTATGACCTCAAAAAATAGCAGATCCCTGGATCAACCTCGGAAATCTCGGTCTAGAAATGTTCAGTGCTTGGAACAGCAAAGATACTGCACAGAAGCCTCAAGCTCCCAGGCCTCTGGGAGAGGACCTGAGCTTTGAGAGGGATAACCGTACATGGACGGTGACATTACATCATTATAAAAAAATAAATACATATACATGTATTGTATATATTAAATAAATATAAACCTTTCTCTTTTCTTTTGTTTTTTCAAACATTTCTCTTTGTGTCAAAATGTATGATTATTGTATCAAAAGCCCATCTAGGGACACGTGCTGCAAATTATCCTCTAGTGCAGAAGTCATATTTGTGTTTGGATTCAGTCCAAATGCAGAGGTAAAAACATAGCAGCAAGGAAACCACAGGGACCAGACCCACAGGGACCAATTCAATTCAATTCAACTTTATTTATAGAGCACTTTAAAAACAACACAGTTGACCAAAGTGCTGAACACAAGTCTAAAAACACAATATAATATCAAAACATATACAAGAATACAAATTGCACAGAAAGTCAACCCACTGAGTTAAAAGCCAAAGTAAAAAGATGAGTCTTAAGAAGCCACAGAGACCAGATCCACAGAGACCAGATCCACAGGGACCAGATCCACAGAGACCAGATCCACAGAGACCAGATCCACAGGGACCAGATCCACAGGGACCAGACCAGACTTTAGTCAGGACTTTAAAGTTGGAAACAGGATGAAAATCTGCCCGTCTGTACCATATATCCATGGTCTGTTCTTTCATTATCAGAGGTTTGTTTACATTTGAGGCTGGGATGTGATTGGTTCTTTAAAGATAGTCCCGCCCCTTTGTTTTGAACTATTTTTTACAGCAGCTTCCGTAGCTTCCTTTCGCAAATAAACAACATAAAAAGTAAATGGCCCTGAGCCTAAACACATACGCCACACGTAATCAGAGAATCACGTAGCCACACGTAGATAACCACGTAGCCGCGCGTAGAGCTTGACTTAGCCACACGTAGCTTTACACGTAGATGAGTCAGGCGAAGAGAAGAACGCTCTAAAACAGGCTGTGATTGAAACAGTGGAAGACAGTCGTACCGAGCATGTTTGCAGACTCTTCACATGTTTCGCCCTTGAGTCGAGATCATTTACAGACTGTCTATGGTGGAGATCTGCCGCAGAGATGCATCATGGGACCTGTAGTTCTTCGCGAAACAGGAAGTCGGCTCAGACATGACGCTGCCCTCTGCTGGTGCATTTGAGTATTATTACACATTATATAATATAATAACCTTTTATGAACCATGGATGTATAATGAACCGTGTTGGAAGCAACTTTATTTACGTTTGTAATATATTCCATTTATGTAAGTCTTAATATTTACAGTCTACGGTTACAACTCTTGACTATAATATATTATACATATCTATTATTACTATTTCATTATATTATACATGATTTGCTCTATTTATACTTTGATAAAACAAGTCTGAATACAAAAACACACACACACAAACACAGTGGTTATACTGGGAGAAAACCGTCAGCTTGTAGATTATAATTAAAAGATGAAAGGTGAACAAACGTGAACAAAGAGTTTAATGTCTCATTCATTTATTTGTCTAAAAAACAGTGAGATATCCTCATGTGAGCCGTGCACAAAGAGAAACTCAAATAAATACACTTCATGGTCACGTTTTAAACTTGCTCCATTCAGAAACTCCAGATGCTGCAGAGAGAGGTTTAAGTACGAGTCGGGTCTGTGGACTGGCCGCGCGCCAAGCCAGCTCCAGGACATAACAGAACAAGACAAAATGTGTATATTTTGTCGATTTAATTCACATGGCCCAGCATTTGTATGTAATCTTAGAGGTAAACAGGCCCAGTACAAATGCATATGCTGTAAAAAAAAAAAAAAAAAAAAAAACAACTGTTGATTTTGCTCCTGGATCTGGTCTCGCAAAGTTCAGCTTTTACTCCTGACAGACACGGCCGCACCACAGACGTCATACCAGGGCAGATCGCAACAACTGCAATTACTTAGATTACATTTTTATAATGTGAGACAGGCTTCTTCTCTGACTATGTTATAATCCAGGTTAAATTTGAATTCTTCATTTATACTTGCCTTATAAATGGTTATCTGAAAAATTGCAGTTCAGATTAGGGAGATACACAACAGCTCGCCTGCGATATGCATTCATGTTCTTGTGCTTTATTTATGGACTTAAGACTTTTCCGTCTTATTTTTTTTAAACCCAACTCTGCGGCGAGTTTTATGCCGAGGAAAAACGTGAAACTCTTCAAACAGGCAAAAGTCTCTGTCCAGTTTAAGGCTGTTAAAACCACACGCATCATCACATAGATCGATAATGAAAGCAAAACATTGTATAAATAAATAAATAAATCAATATAAATCAATAAATACTATAAAAATAAATTATCAAAATGAACAAATTAACATATAAAATCAATTTGCAGGGCACCACTCCACAATGAGGCCCCTGTGTTCAGTTGTAAATCTAGTAAAGTTGTTTTAACGCAGTCGTTTCACAATCAATATCGGCGTCAAATGTTCAAATCTGTGGCTATAAAACCGGAAACGATTCAAGGCAAAACTCGTGAGAAAGGGTTCCGTGGTCTCATTGTGAAGTGGGGCCGGATTTGGAAGATCTGCTACATTCTCAGATGCAAAAAACGACATTCGAAAGATAAACTCATGTATCAAACAGGCAACGTACGGACATTTGGCAATAAATTAAGAGCAAGGGATAGTCTAGTTTTTTGTGGATATCAAAAGAAAGGCTCAAACGAGAACGCATCATAGAGCTGGTGATGCAGAGAAACTTCTAGATCATTTTTTTTTTCATTATAGAATCTGCAGTAGGGCTCAACGATATGGGAAGATTCCGGGCCTGGGTTTGTGGGCTGCACCCCCTTCTCACATCGAAGCCCTACATCGAATGGCCTCGGTCCTCGTTCTACAGCCTGAGTCCTGGATCTACCGCCCGTCTATCCGTGGGTGCAGATCCCTCCCTCAATGTGGGTCTCTCAAGGTTTCTCACGTTTTCCCGATTTTAGAGAGTTTTCTTGCCGATGCAGGAGGGTCTAAGGACAGTGGTGATGATCGAGGACATGTATTAACATTTCTAGACATTGGTCACCTGTCCCTTAACGACCAATGGCTCTATGTGCTTTTTATCAATGCATTTCTTGAGTTTTAACTGTTTGATTCTCTGATCTGTGTTGGCGAATCAACGGTTTTGTAAAGTCCCCCGAGAAAACCTCTGTTGTGATTTAGGGCTGTACAAAAATAAATTGAATTGAACACTTGTGGGTGTAGCCCGTAGATGAACACAACACTACACTATCCCCTCCTCAACACAACACAAGTGAAGCTAACGCACAAAGCATTCACTCGCCCAAGGCCATTATTGTCAGGGCTGAACTAGAGTCTCATTTATACATTGTAATAAAATAATAATAAATAAAAAAGTGACAGAATTCTCCAAACTCCCCTCAGGCACAGCCGAGTCAACCGGAGCGCGGCGACAACAGCGCATCGATCAGGCTTAAAATGAAGGAATTCAGGATTTTATTCTAGACGTCGGTGTTTAGACGTATTTGCTCATATGAACGAGATTACCAGCCTGAATCCCAGTCACTTTAAACCCTCCAGAATACAATAGTTACATGAGTGCAGATCCCCCTCCCCCTGGGTCCACTCCCTTCTGTGCACAAAATGTCCATGTGTCTGTGTGTATGTTGGGTGTGTGTGTCCGTTTGTGTGTGTGTTTGTGTGTGTGTGTATGTATGCTAGATGAACCACTCCTTCTTGCTCTCCTCGATGGTCTCTGTGAAGGCCGGGTCGCTCACGATGATGGCAGCGTCTGCGCAGTCGGCGGCCTCCTGGCCTTTGGCTTCATTGGTGTGGTACGAGCCTTTGTGCCGGAACAGATGCCGGATCAGGAAAACCAGGAAGCACAAGGCCACGAAAATCACCACGGAGACGATTCCTGTGGACAGAGAGATGCTGTGACGTTATAGACTACAACCGTTCATGTGCAGGTGTCCCACAGGGCTGCCCTTTGTCACCGCTTCTGTTCACTGCTTTTGTGGATATGAGTGGAATCCAGTTTGGAGACTACAAGGACCAGAGGGAGTCCGGTTTGGGTACTACAGGGACCTGAGAGAATAATTTTTAGGGACAACAGGGACCAGATAGAGTCCGATTTGGGGACTACAGGGACCAGAGAGAGTCCAGTTTGCGGACCACAGGGGCCAGAGATAGCCCGGTTTGGGGACAACAGGGGCCAGAGATAGTCTGGTTTGGGGACTACAGGAACCAGAGAGTCTGGTTCGGGGACTACAAGGACGAGAGGGAGTCCGGATTGGGGACTACAGGGACCAGAGAAAGTCCGATTTGGGGACCACAGGGACCAGAGATAGTCTGGTTTGGGGACCACAGGGACCAGAGAGAGTCTGGATTGAGGACTACAGGGACCAGAGAGAGTCCGGTTTGGGGACTACAAGAACCAGAGAGAGTCCGGTTTGGGGACTACAGGGACCAGACAGAGTCCGATTTGGAGACTACAGGGACCAGAGAGAGTCCGGTCTGGGGACTACAGACTACAACATTTTTGTTTGGGACTATTGGATTTAATTTCTGTTATTTGCAGATTACCATGTGCTTCTCCTCACAGGTACAACACTACTGTCTATAAATCTTGGTATTTTGTCTCATGTAAGGCCTGGAACGAAATGCCAAGGTTTTAGTGAGTCGCTACAAGCTTCTGCCCTTCAGGTTTACGAAATCACTGCATGTAGTGTAAATATTAACATCCCGTAGGTCTACAGTGTGCTTCCTGCTTCAGGAGTGTGCCGCCGCTTAAATGTATTTAGAATAATGTTGAATGAATGAATCTTTCACTCACACGTGCAATCACAAAAGTCAGACTTTCATTCAGACCATGTGTACCAACGATCTGTGCTGGGCCAGAATCCCACTGGCTCACAACAAACAAGACTGACCTATAATTTTAGTTTTCATTTGGCAGAATTATTTTTTATATTTTCTCTTTTGATGTTTATGAAAGCAGAATCTATTTTAGTGCCTTAAAATACGATTCCATTAAAAGCAGTAAGATTACCTCCGATGACGGCAGAGTTTGGATCCGCTGCATCAGTCGCGGCTTTGTCTGAGTTTGACGGAAGGTGAACTCCAGCTGTGGACAAGACACAAGTTCAACAGTCATAAATGTGGTGCCATCAGGAGGTGAAAGCCAGATCCCGTTAAATCACTAAAGCTAAGCAGGGTATGGCCTGGCTAGTACTTTGATGGGAGACCTCTAGGAACACCAGGTGAAAGTAAAGTGCCAATCTATGGTTTTGTTCGTAGCCCATTGAGGCCGGGAAAGCATTCCCGCGTTTCTGACTTTCAAGCCGGGAGCGCTGTTGTGCACTTCTACCTTTAAGGCCGGGAAAGCGGATACGTCTTTTTTTCTTTTTTTGACCTATTCTCTTCATTGATCAATCATCTGGACCAATGAAATGCATCAAGATGAACCAAGGATGAGAATTATCTGCGGATCTGTGAATTCCGACTTTTTCTCACTGAAAATATCATTTCTGTGAAATGTGTGACTGTACTCAAACAGGATTAACATCCTCCACTCGCGCGGACCATAGACGCGGACACGGACAGAATCATACACGCACAATCAGGACCATCCCCGCACGTGCGGGTCTTGCCCGTCTCGCCCGTCTCTCTCCATGTCTCCCCCGTCTCTCCCCCATCTCTCCCTCATGTCTCTCCCACATCTCCCCAAAGTCTCCTCACAAAGCGTAGCCAAAACTCACTGAATTAAAGCGCAGGTACCCACATTCGTTTTGCACAAATAACATGCATTAACAATGCATGTTATTTGTGCAAAACAAAACAAAACAAACCACAACAGTCATGTTTTTTTATTTTTCTTACTTAAAGGACAACTCACCCTCAAATCCACTTTTTTTTTGCTGATAAACGGTATAAATGAATGTCCAATAGTGTTGTCTACATATCCTGGTCATAATTTTGTCACTTTGGTGCAAATTAGTTGAAAGTTAAACTTTCTGCCTAAAACCGTCTGTGAGGCGCCATCTGCTGGCGACCTGTATTACTACGATTGAATTTTGAATCTGGCGCCAACACTGGCGCGGCAGCAAGACCTGACGTCTGAAGCAAGACCTGACGTCTGAAGCAAGACCTGACGTCTGAAGCAAGACCTGACGTCAGCAGCCCCCCGCCCAGGGCAATGTAAACGGCCCAGTCTCGTTCACGCCCCCTTTAGTCCTCCAGGCTACGCCCATTTAGAGGAAGATTTGAACAGGAAATGTGAGTGACGTAAGCTCCGAGGAGCGAGGGTGAGAACCTCTTTAAGAAAGAGCCCTGTGAGTCATTATTTGACTTTTTGGGCTGAGAGTGGATTTTTAATATTTTTTCTACATAGTTAGTGCCACTTTATTGCCAAACTCTTTGTGACTAAACATGTGTTAGTCTCACATTGGTTGTTTTATTACCTTTCCTGTGTGGAAGCTGTATATTTTTTGTTTTATTCTACTGGAGGTTTATAATAATACACTGCACTGCAAGTGTCAGCTCTCAAATTCTTTTGAAATTATGTTTCTATCTGCTACAGAGGCCGAGATATCAATCATTCTGTAGATGTTGAATTTCAGGAAAACTTCAGGTTTTGGAGGTGGTTTTGAAGTCGGGCCATAGGTTTTTACAGGTCTGTTCTACCAGGTGGGTCAGACCTTAATGGGTTTAGCAAGACACTTCACCCAGATTAGAATGAATTTGGTGTGCCTATGTGCGATTGTGTGTGTCAAGGGCTAGTGGTGGTGGCTGATGGCACAGACTGGTTGCCTCGCTTCTATCAGTGTGCCCAGGGCAGGTGTGGCTACAGTAGTAGTTTATCACTACTATGTATAAGGACATGTGAAGCGTCTTTGAGTGTCCAGAAGCATTATATGCAAAGAATGCATTATTAAGCTAAAATCATGACGGTAGTGGTAAGTACAGAGTGGTTAGCTGCATGTACCGGCTTCAGCGTGCCAGGGGTCGTCTGGGGCCAGGGGGGAGATGGTGAGTGGAGCTGCCCCACAGTTGGATGGGACCAGGATGCCGTGGGTGCTGATGGGGGCGCTCTGTCCTGCCCGCAGCGCCGCCTTGAGAGGAGCCAGGCGGTTGAATTGCACTCGGGACAGACAGCCCACAAAGCCGGGGGTGTTGTAGCGCTCGATCAGCACTGGGTCCATCTGCCCCGTCTCTGCACACACACCGAGAACCAACACTTCACACATCGCTCATTTCAGGATGAAACAGAAAAACGGTTTCATCCTCTTTTATACATTCAAGTTGCTCCAATAATCCCGTTTTACTCATAAATTCAAAACGTTTTTAAGGATTTTTTATGTCTTTCTTTCAACACTGGCATTCATATTCTATACTCATCCATAAAGGTCTTGTAGACTGCAGAAGCTACTCTTATATTATCAAAAATATTTGGATTTATAACACAACATAAAATAAAGATAATAATATTGGAAAAGGCCCTTACATTAAAATCATAGTTCAATTGAAATCGGCTGCATTATTGGTATCGGTATCAGCAAACACAAAAGATCTGACATTTTTCTACTCTCCAGTTTCTGCTACATCATGTCCAGCCATGACTTCTCTTCTTTTCAAAATTGTTTCATTTAATAACTTATACTTTTACCAAAGACATAACAAAATAGACTTTACCAAAAACTTTTCCGAGGAAGATGCTCTTGACGAGGTTGAAGTGGGTGTCGGAGGCGGAGGGTAGAGTATGGATGGATTCTGGGTAGTGATCCACCTGCAGGACGACAGTCAGAACAGTCCTGTTCACATCTGTCCACGTCTGTCTGTTTCAGTCCCTAATATTTACAGTCAAATTACAGTGTCAAACCAGTTCCAGACAGGGACGGTGTGGCTCCAGGTTTTAGTTCCAACCTGAGCAGGAGCACAGCAGACTCCACCCATTTCCTCAAATTATCAGGAAAAAAATGGACTCACCTGAGAAAATGGGTGGAGTCTGGTGTGCTCTTGCTTGGCCCGGTATGTGTGTGTGTGTGTGTGTGTGTGTATGTGTATATGTGTGTATGTATTTGTATTTATGTGTGTGTGAGCGTGTGTGAAAGGAGGAGCCTCTCACCTGCAGCCTGACGTCCCGCAGTCTTCTGGACACGCTGACAGAGTGCGGAAGTCCGTTGGCCATGTTTCTGTGGTTCATGTCGATGGTGAACGGTTCTTTCAATCCCCCCAGACTGTAGCGGATCTGAAGGGTCCCTGGAGAGGAAGCAGAGACAGTGGGTCTAGTGTCTTTTACTCAATGAACCAGGCTGACATTTAAAGATGTTCTGCATACGGCACCTTCCCCTTCCAGTGAAACGTCAAAAAGACTTAGAACTGAGCCATTAGGTGAAAATGTAGATTGTGACACACACTGGTTCGTACCGTTGTGGCGGAGGACCACAGCAAGGTAGTCCTGGGTCCTGGAGCTGACGTAGACCAGCACACAGGGGGCGCTGGAGGTGCTGAAGCTGAAGGACAAATCCTCCTGCGTCAGATTGAGCTGTGAGCTGGAAATGGCCCCTGACGTGACCCTGCCCAGAGCCGGCGCCTCAGGCTGGAAGTCGTACCGCACCAACGTCCCGGTCTCAAAGTACCCGCCCACATCTGGGAATAGAGAACCAGAAACTCATACCATGTATTATTTTAATTCATTTAGTCCAGCTTCAGAATATTTATTACCATTGTTTTGTGTTTTAGAAAGTTAAATTACATTCAGCCAAATCTATATTGTAATCCAAGATGATGTGGTCTAATTAAAGACACACTGTGAAAAACTCATCATTTGACAGCAGGCAAAAGTTGTTTTAAAAGGCAGAAAACATATTCTTGGGTTTCATTAAACTGGCCAGTAGGGAGCGAATGAGCAGAGGTGGGACAACTCAGTTTTGCTGCAATTGAAAACCATGTAAATCATAAAGTCTGGTTGTACGGGGTAAAGTATGGAATGATTTAAATAGGAGTTTTTTTTTTCTGGCAGCAGTAACTCACCCTCAGTGCAGTAGCTCACCCTCAGTGCAGTAGCTTACCCTCAGTGCAGTAGCTTACCCTCAGTGCAGTAGCTTACCCTCAGTGCAGTAGCTCCCGTCGTAGGCCGTGTCCGTGCAGTCGCAGTGGTAGTCGTTATACTGCTCCACGCAGCGGCCTCCGTTCTGACAGTGCACCCCGAAGCTGCTGCAGTGACCCCGGCAGCCCGCACTGACCCCTGCAGACACCTCAGCCCTCTCCTTCAGGTCCAGGGCCACACCGTTTACCCGGAGCGCCCTCATGCAGCCGAGGAACGCTCTTTGACCACTGGACGAACCTGCGACGAAGAGCCAAGCCTTTAAATAAAAGACCAATACTACATCTACCTTAATACTGGAACTCCCAACAGCAGCCATTTTGACGGCTTTTAGTTTTGGTAGTGTAATTACAGTACGCGGCTCAAGTACGGAATTTTTTGGGGAAAATAAAAGTACTAAAGCCTAGGTCTGTGTGAAGACCTAAGTGGATAAAGCACTAAAACATTGGATCCACCGTGAGGACACGAGGAGCGAGTCAGTGCTGCAGCTGTGAGGAGGGCCTCTGTTGTAAAGATATCAGCTTTACATTCTGACAGATCTGAGATTTGTGTATGTACCATTTATCTAGTGTAACACAGTGTTATTTTGATCCAAATTGAAACGCTGCTAATGTTGTTAGCTTGTTAGTTCATTCTCCAATAGGTTGAATTAAAAAAACCTTTATTGTTGGAGTTGGAAGCCTTTAGCACACAGCTAACATTATTTATTTATTAGGCCTCGCCCACAGTTTGTGTTTATTGCTGTACCATATTATTTGGTACCGAGGTCAGACGTGCAGTGGGGATGCTTCTATTCACTCTCCATAGTGATAATGAAACTAAGATGAAACAGAGATGTTTTGACGTATAGATTGTCAGTTTTATGCCCTGATGGTCCATGGAGCAGCAGCCTCTTCCTTCTGAGCTCGTATAGAGGTGTACAATTGTAACACTAGAATATAAGCAGCTCAAATGCATAAAATAAACTAAACTAATATTCCTGATGGTGGTTTGTGGTCTCACCCAGGATGAGCTGCGTGTAAACCTCGGGCCGGCTGTTGCCCTGAGGCAGAGCTCTGCTTTCTCGCTGCTGTCCATCCAGGCGCAGCGTGGCCTCCTTCTGGTTCTTCTCTACTTCCACACGGTGCCACCGGTCGTCGTTCAGAGGAACTGGAGATCGAACGATGAGCTCCATCTGAGAGCTGCCCAGGCCGAAGGAGAAGGAGACCAGTGAGGAGGCTGCAGGGAGGCAGAGGGTTAGAGGAGTTACACCGGGTCTAATCACCCCATTAAATATGTATCATAAACCAAAAAATATTAACATATAAATTAAACATATTTTATTGCATGAAAACAGACACCAGAATAATTCTAATGTGGGTGAAATGTCTTGCCTAAGGACACAACAACAGTTTGCCACTGCAGCACCTGGTGTTCTCAGGGGTCTCCCATCACAGTACTAACCAAGCCCATATCATTTTAGCTTCAGTGGTCGAACAGGATATGGCTTTCACATGCAAGTATGGCCAATAAATACCTTTCCCTGTACTGACTAAAGTATCAATAAAATGTGGAGCTGTGCGATAGAAGATCTGAAGCGGGGGGGGGGGGGGGGGGGCACATTGGGATATGGGTATATTGTGTAGGGCTGGACTTCGTTTCATGTGGTTGCCATTTAATTTAAATCAAGAAAACATATTTATTTGACTTTGAATGTGTGTTTGATAAACAAAAAGTAATTACAGAAAAGAGAAACCTGAAGATATCCAACGTTATATACAGTGCCTTGCGAATGTATTCGGCCCCCTTGAACCTTTCAACATTTCGCCATATTTCAGGCTTCAAACATAAAGATATAAAATTTAATTTTTTGTCATGAATCAACAACAAGTGGAACACAATCGTGAAGTGGAACGAAATTTATTGGATAATTTAAACTTTTTTAACAAATAAAAAACTGAAAAGTGGGGCTTGCAATATTATTCGGCCCCTTTACTTTCAGTGCAGCAAACTCAGTCCAGAAGTTCAGTGAGGATCTTTGAATGATCCAATGTTGTCCTGAATGACTGATGATGATAAATAGAATGCACCTGTGTGTGATCAAGTCTCCGTATAAATGCACCTGCTCTTTGATAGTCTCAGGGTTCTGTTTAAAGCGCAGAGAGAACCATTAAGACAAAGGATTCAGGCAGGTCCGAGATACTGTTGTGGAGAAGTTTAAAGCCGGATTTGGATACAAAAAGATTTCCCAAGCTTTAAACATCTCAAGGAGCACTGTGCAAGCAATTGTATTGAAATGGAAGGAGCATCAGACCACTGCAAATCTACCAAGACCCGGCCGTCCCTCCAAACTTTCATCTCAAACAAGGAGAAGACTGATCAGAGATGCAGCCAAGAGGCCCATGATCACTCTGGATGAACTGCAGATAACTACAGCTGAGGTGGGAGAGTCTGTCCATAGGACAACAATCAGTCGTGCACTGCACAAAACAGGCCTTTATGGAAGAGTGGCAAGAAGAAAGCCATTTCTCAAAGATATCCATACAAAGTCTCGTTTAAAGTTTGCCACAAGCCACCTGGGAGACACACCAAACATGTGGAAGAAGGTGCTCTGATCAGATGAAACCAAAATCGAACTTTTTGGCCACAATCCAAAACGATATGTTTGGCGTAAAAGCAACACAGCTCATCACCCTGAACACACCATCCCCACTGTCAAACATGGTGGTGGCAGCATCATGCTTTGGGTCTGTTTTTCTTCAGCAGGGACAGGGAAGATGGCTAAAATTGATGGGAAGATGGATGGAGCCAAATACAGGACCATTCTGGAAGAAAACCTGTTGGAGTCTGCAAAAGACCTGAGACTGGGACGGAGATTTATCTTCCAACAGGACAATGATCCAAAACATAAAGCCAAATCTACAATGGAATGGTTCACAAATAGACGTATCCAGGTGTTAGAATGGCCAAGTCAAAGTCCAGACCTGAATCCAATCGAGAATCTGTGGAAAGAGCTGAAGACTGCTGTTCACAAACGCTCTCCATCCAACCTCACTGAGCTCGAGCTGTTTTGCAAGGAAGAATGGGCACGAATTCCAGTCTCTCGATGTGCAAAACTGATAGAGACATACCCCAAGCGACTTGCAGCTGTAATTGCAGCAAAAGGTGGCGCTACAAAGTATTAGCGCAAGGGGGCCGAATAATATTGCACGCCCCACTTTTCAGTTTATTTGTTAAAAAAGTTTCAATTATCCAAGAAATGTGGCGAAATGTTGAAAGGTTCAAGGGGGGCGAATACCTACTGTATAGGTTAACAGATTTTTTGCATCTGCAGCTACATTTTTGTTATAACCTTGTACATAAGCTTTAAAGGAATAGTTCACCGTTTGTACATACTGACATATGTTCTTACCTTACCTTAGACTAGTTAATACATACCTGTCTGGTCTTAGTCCGTGCGCTCTGTCATGCAAACAGAGCAAAAACTGGAGCACAACCGCAGCCTCCTCTGTATATTTTGTAGCACCAAAAGGTAGCTCCCGCTAGAAGCTACCAAACTCTTCCAAGTGTTCCCTATTAAATTTATATAGTTACGTGACGTGTTACACTGCAAAGTATAGTAACACAGAAATGTAACAGTCGATTTTCTCAGCGGATAAAACGGGTACTATATTGTGAGGCGTAGTAATCTGAGGTGCGCTACGTCCGCGCACTAACTTCTCTCCGGAGACTTCTCTCTCGCTCACTTCCGTCAATAGAAGCAGCGTGACTTGTAATACACACAGTAGCAGCGAGAGAGAAGTCTCCGGAGAGAAGTTAGTGCGCGGAGAAGTTAGGAGCGCTACGTCCGCGCACTAACTTCTCTCCAGAGACTTCTCTCTCGCTGCTACTGTGTGTATTACAAGTCACGCTGCTTCTATTGACGGAAGTGAGCGAGAGAGAAGTCTCCGGAGAGAAGTTAGTGCGCGGACGTAGCGCACCTCAGATTACTACGCCTCACAATATAGTACCCGTTTTATCCGCTGAGAAAATCGACTGTTACATTTCTGTGTTACTATACTTTGCAGTGTAACACGTCACGTAACTATATACATTTAATAGGGAACACTTGGAAGAGTTCGGTAGCTTCTAGCGGGAGCTACCTTTTGGTGCTACAAAATATACAGAGGAGGCTGCGGTTGTGCTCCAGTTTTTGCTCCGTTTGCATGACAGAGCGCACGGACTAAGACTAGACAGGTATGTATTAACTAGTCTAAGGTAAGGTAAGAACATATGTCAGTATGTACAAACGGTGAACTATTCCTTTAACAGAGGATACTCTGATGAAAGTATTATTTTATACATTTGGATTGTATTTTTTTTAACTTGTCTTTAGATTTTAATTCTTGTACAGATTGAACCAATGCTGGACTAAAGCTAAAGAAGGCCAAGTATTGTGACATATTTTGATTAATTATTATGAGCCTGCCATTGTAAGTTTCATTTAAATAGTGGGAGACAGAGAAATGTTTGTGGATGGTAAAACGTCTGAGGGCCGCATAGAAACATGAATGAGGCCGGAAATGTCCCCCGGGCCGTACTTTGCCCTTGGTCTGGTCTGAAGACACAATTTCATGCAAACCCTGACCCTAAACTTACCCTTCCCATCTTACTGGGGTTTGATTCAAAGTCAGGAGGATGTAAACCAGAGCTGGACTGTAGACTGCCTCCCTCATCCCCCTAACCTCCCTCACTTCCCTCACCTCTCACCTCCCTCACCCCCCTCACCCCCCTCACCTCGTAGCTGGACCTGCAGCAGGGCGTCGGCTCCAGAGTTCTGAAGAAAGAGTCCGTGAGCTGAGGACGTTCTGAAGTAGAAGGAGATGTCGCTGCTGCGCTCAGATCTGAAGGAGGGGAAGAGCATGTGCGACGCCGGACTGGAGAAGGACGCAGAGTTCCACAAGTGTCCTGCAAGCACACAACACTGAAACACAACTACCACACAATACCACACAACTACTGCTGTGGGACCTTAAGTTATTGTTTTAGAAATCTGACTTGTATAGAATTTTCCTGTGTTTGTATCAGTCTCTGTCCTTCTGCTGATGATGCTCTGTTAACACTAGAACTCCCAGAGCAGTCAATTTTTGTTTTTAAGTGATATTACTCAGCTCTTTTACCTTTTGTGGTCTTGATAACTTGATAACTTTGTGACTTTTTTCTGTTTCTTTAAGTAGATTATTTCTGCCTTTACTTTCCACCATCTTTCATTTTCTAAATCTACCTTTAACTAGATTCATGTAGCCATTTTCAGTTGCTTTCTATCGACTGCAGTTAAAGACTTTTTCTTCTTGGTTCTGGACTGGTCCTGGTTCAGCTTGGTTTTCCGTCAGAGAAGAGCGAGGCCTGGTTACCATAGCAACACACATTTTACTGTCAGCAGTTAGCATTTTGCCTTTTCAATGCTTTTTTTTAAAACTGTATTTCAAGTTTCTGTCACCAGTTTTAGCAATCATAAAAAGTGAGTGACGGTAAAAAACCTTATGACTAGTTTTATTAAATCAAATGAAAAACTAAAAATCTTTTGGGCTAATTTCTCAGAATTTCATTAGATTGAATGAGAAGAGTCAAAATGACGGCTTTGGAAATTCTAGTACTTTCATAATTGTGTGAGCCCTAGTGTAACAGATCACTATAACTAGCAGATTAAGAGTGCTGCGATGTAGTGATAATGAGATTCTGATTTCTGTTCTTTTTGTTTGTTTAGAAAATTATTTAATATGAATAATTTTCAGCAAATTAAATTAATCAAATCAAACGGAAATTGTGACCCTCAAATCCCAACATGTATCGAAAAGTAGTGAGAAGATAGGGAAATACCAAAGACCACTTTTTGGACCCAGAGGCATAGAACTAAAGTGCAGGACTGAGGGGGAGGCGGAAGAGTCAGGGGTCTTTTTCTCTTTACAAAAACAGAAGAGCCTTTTTCAGCCTGAGCCCAAATAGTGACTCACAACATTTTACTTTCACAAGACAAAACTATGAAAAGAAAAGTTCAGGACCCCAGCTTTAAGTGATCCGTTTATATTCCTGAGCTGGTTTATATCAATGCTGAACAAAGATTGTGTACGTGCTCATGAGGGTAGAGCTTGATGAAAGCAATGGGTGCGTGTCTCACGGTCTCCACGGCAACGCAGAGGTCCCACGGTGAGTTTGGCCTCAGATCCAGCTCGTCCTGTGTCCCCCACCTCCACGGCGCTCACAGGGAGGTGCTGCTTGTACATGAGCATCCCAGAGTCCTCTTTCCTATCACACACACACACACAAACAAACACACAAACACATGGATTAGCCCCAGGACGATCTGTTTATTTGCTTCAAACAGATATCTCTTTTGAAAATGTATCAAACAGTTGTATTCCTCTAGCTACAATCTTCAACATGTTTTGTTATCGAGAATTAGCTCAAGAAGTGTTGAAACTTTACTTTAGTATGGCTCTAGAATATATCTGGCTTGGTTAAGAGAAAATTGTAGACTTCCCTAATCTGTTTTTGCAAAATAACTATTCATTTACTGTGTGGGCACTTTAGTTTACGCTTCAGGGTCCAGACTTGTCCCAGAAAGTTGTTATTACCCTGATTAGCCACGGTTCTTTAGCAATTGCGTTAGCTAGCAATGTTGTCGGTGCATAACAGTTTATCACAGAGGGATTGACTGTTGTGGTGGTGTATGGAGAAGTGACACAACGACCCAAACTTGAACTTATTGTAATATATTTTGTGTTTATTTGTTTCTGTTTCAAACCCAATTTCTGGATAAAGTTTTTTTTGTTATTTTCTTACTAATAATTCTAGAGTTGAATTGCAGATGCTTCAATCAATAAGAGCAAAGTTGCTGAATGCCCATTTATGTGTTTCCGGTCAGACACAAAATTGCCTGCCGTTGTCAAACTCTACAAGAAATCACAATGTATGACACAATCCCATTAGGTATTTCTTATTTTTACAGTATCGCTGATTATCACCTAATTTGGGACAGTCCTGCTTTCTGACAGTGTAATTTTTATCGTAATGTACCCACTGCGGGTCAAATACAGGTTCTCTTATCTACTCTTAACTTATTTGAGTGATCTTTGTCACAGTGTGTCTGTGATTGTGGCCATGGTGGAGGTGTGTGCTGACCAGGCCCTGGTGTCCGCGTCACAGTGGCAGTTGTGGGCAGAGTTGGTACAGTTGTGCTGGATGCCGCAGGAGCACTTCTGGATCCCGGGCCCCGACCCGCCCCAGTACGAGTGCCTCTCATTGGAGCGACCGACCCACGATGTGAAGGGTTCTCCGTCTGCACACGACACAGGCTTACACTCAGTAAAATATACTTCAGAGATATCAAACATGCAGGGGGGGGTCTTTTGAATGCAGCGAGTCCTAGGTATCTCTGAACCAGATGTTGTTTTGTGTTTTACAATCACTATTTTTCTAGATTTTTCTACCTGTAAATGTTACTTTGTACAGTGCTCTTTACATTGATCCAGACCAGAGCAGAGGGGATGCATGGTCCCAACCAACCAGATCAAGCAGAAATCCACTGGAGGAATGGTTTTTTTCTTTGTTAATAAAGCATTCAGAATGTCACTCTGAACCAGAGCAGAGAAAATGGTCCAAACCAACCAGACGCTGGATATATCAACCAAGGAAGAAGGAAGCAGCTCATCACCAGCGGCTGCACCACCTCTGCTGCTGTGACCTTAAGTGCTGTTGCGTCTTCTTACTATTGTTTCTAACATTTAGAATTATTTATTTATTTATATGTTGATATGGATGGGTGCTATGTGTACTGGGTGCAGCTCTGACTGCCACCCCCCTGACCCAGAAATGGATTAAGGGGAAGAAAATAGATGGATGGGTTTCTGCTGTTTCTGCTGCAAGACACCTGAGTTTCTCCTAAAGGGATCAGAAAGTATATATCTATGTCTTGTTCTTAGAGAGGGAAGGATAGAGTGTGAGATTGGATCAAATGTAGTGATGCTGTCATTGTATCAGACTGCTTGTGGCAAAGGGGGAGCAGCGTCTGCAGTCAAAGCTCTGGATATACTGTAGTCTATGTCCCCTCCCTCACCTCTGGTTATGAGCTTTGGGTAATGACTGGAATTATGAGATTGTGGATACAAGCACCACATGAGTTTCCACTAATAAACTCAGCGGGTTACACTGTCTGCCCTAATATCTCTGCTCTGTACCTGGAGTGTTGAGGAGGCGGGACATCCTGCAGGCGTAGGCCACATACTGCTCACAATAGTCTGCGCTGTTTGTGACGGACAGGACCTGAGTCAATGAAAGACAAAAGGGACTTGTTACATGAAAGAATTATATTCAGGGCTTGAACGTCAGTAAAACATTATAATTTGCGTTATAAAATCTGGAGTTTCACCTGTTCATCTGTGACGTTGTAGTCCAGGTGGAAAACAGCTTTTCCGCTCTGATCCGGTCTGGGCACAGGGCTCTGAGCCGAGACATTGTTCTTCAAAATGGTCCACACCTGGTCCTCTGAAACAGGAATCATCCAGAGTTAAGGAGAAGACATGTCCTGAGAATTGTTAAGTCAACTAAAAATAGAAAGTTTGTCTATGATCATGATCATTAAGCTTTAGGTTTACTCTCCTGGGCCTGAAATGTGTCCTCTGCTTTGGAACCGGGACCCAGGATCCATCTCCCGATACTCATATTGGTCATGTCCCAATGTCTCTGATACAAACTGCTCACAAGACGACAGCTGAACTCCCAAAAGTGTGTTTGTACTTAAGATCATTGATTCATCACTTAAACTATTGAGGATTTACATTAACTGAGAATGACACCAAAAAACATAAATAAACTAAATAAATATGAATTGTAAACTGCTTTGTGACTCTGGTCTGTGAAAGGCGGTATATAAATAAAGATTACTTACTTACTTGATAACTTTTAATGACAAGCATAATAAGTGATTTGTTATGATTTCTGTGCCATTTGAACCCCTCCATGTTTCACCTGTCATGTCACAGCTGACCCTGAAGGGGGCGATAGGACCACTGCCGTCCGGGTCGATGAGGTAGAGTCCTGAGCCCGTCCCCCTCTGCTGGTACTCCTCACAGGACTGTGGATACAAGGCTACGACACACACACATACACACACACACACACACACACACACACACACACGCACAGACAACACAAACACACATTTGTATTTTACGTCTGTCCCCATTATTATTTAACAAAGAAGCTATATTTAATCAAATGGATGCATTATCGGAAACACCCCCCGGACATGTGAAATGGACAAAGTGTTGTGTAGTTGTTGAATGAACAGGCAGCGTGTGTGGAGGAGACTCACGCATGTGGCAGGTGGCCCCCGTGTATCCGGAGCCCGAGCAGTTACAGCTGAAGGAGTCCCAAGTCTGAGAGCAGAGGCCCCCGTGAGCACAGGGGTTTGGGACACACCTGCAGAGAACAGAACACAGGCCCCGTAAGCACCAGGGTTTGGGACCATCGACTGTACATCGACAATGCTAATTCTCTATATCAATGAAGTGCTCATGGACAAAGTTTTGCTCCAACTCTTTTCAACATTTCATTGGCCCAAATATCACTGACTCCAATCCTTACGAGGGCAGACATGAAACTTGTCTGTTACACGCTCCTCTGTCAAGTTTTGGATTATAGTTGAGGAGCAATGACAGAAACACAGCAAGAAGGTTTGAAGTGAAAAAGACTAATGAAGTTTACACAATGTTGGTGAACGATTACTGCCATTTGTGAAAGTGAAGCATGATCCATCTGCTGGATCTGTAAACAAACTTCAAGCTTTCGTCTATTCAATACTACGTCATCATCGTCCTGCAGTCCCTCCCTGTTCTGAGATACGCAAAAATTTAAACCAAGTTTCTGTGTTGTTGTGCAGTTTAGAATGACTTGTTTGCACACAGCAACATGGGGATTCCCAGGCAAGATGAAATTAAAAATAACAAACCATCTAGTTTCCATTAAATTATTTATAATACATTCATCCATTTTCTTCCGCTTGATCCGTTGCCGGGTCGCGGGGACAGCAGTCTAAGCAGAGACGCCCAGACTTAAATGCTACAACCCTGTTTTTCAGGATTGTTTTCACATGTCCGCTCCGTAAAGTTTGTCAGTTTTTAAAGTTTGATGGGGTGCTTTAGAGCCATCTGATTAGATAGACATTACATTCAGCACACTTCCTGCTCAGGCACCGCATCGGATCTACCAAAATCTTCCAAATTCTGATATTTTGTTTAAACGTTTTAAATTCCCGGGTTTGATCTGATATGGCTCTAACACGTTGACATTTTTCCAAGTTGCATTCCCATAGGCCTCATGTAATTTGAGATTTTTGAGGTAGCGCTACTGAGCAGTCCATCAATATTTTCATCGAGTTGTACTTGGCAATAACAGACATTTGCACGTCAAACCTTGCATATTTCTTGTATGTTGCTTTGTTCACAATTCTGTATGAATCAGAATAGTCCCTCAGCCAAACTTTAATCCCTCCATTCAAGGCTAATGATCATATATTCTTGTTTCTTTTTGTTTCTTCGGACACTCAAAGACACTTTCTTAGGCAAGCTGAGGCCTGATTTGTCCATAACCTTTTACTTGACTCTATTAGGACAAACATTCCACAAAGGTTGGGTGTGATCGTATTTTTGAAAGTGAGTGTCGTCGCAGACCTGTCTACAATGGCGCACATGTCCAGAGTGACGTTCTCAAAGCTGCCCATGCGTCCCTGCTCCACAGCCCTCAGGTCGGCCACGTGGTCGTCGATGTGGATCCCTTGCATGCAGCCCTGGAAGGAGCGCTGCAGGGACAGGCTGCTGGAGCGCTCAAAGTACCCTACAGAGACACACATGATACACACACATGACACAACACATTACACAACACACATAACACACACACATGCATGACACAACACACATGACACACAGGGGAAATAACACACATGACACAACACATGCTTTTCAAGATTCAAGATCCCGTTTATTTGCAATTTGCAGTAAAACCACATTGGAATAATTGCATGACTACCACAGTGTGCACCAGGATGTTGCACACCAGAACTTTTGTGACGGCGCCAGATTTTGCTGAATTTTGGATGTATTGTGTCTTTAGGCTTTAGGCTTTAGGATTAATACATGATTGATGTTCTTGAGACAGGAGAGCTTGAGCTGACTTGAAAATCAAAATAAATACAAAAATGGTTCTGATAGTTTCAGTTTTCCTGTAAAGGCACAGAGCAGCATTACCTCCAAAGTAGTAGGTTCCTCCCGTCTGGATCTGGATGGGGATGGCAGTTCTAACGGTGGAGGCTTCGTCTCCATCCACCGTGAGCATGGCGTAGTTCTCCAGAGCGTGCAGGTGGACACTGTGCCACTGGCCGTCATTCAGACCAGAGCCTGGACACACAAAGAGGATTTTGTGAGCGTGTACAGATACAATAAAAAAAACTGCACAATAGTGTTGGGGAAGAGCACTTGGTGCGAATCCGACTGGGATTCAAACCAAGAACATTCTTGTTAACCATCCAAGATTCAGAATTTATTTACCATTTGTAGTAAAATCACATTGTAAAAACTGTTCAAGACTAGTGTGCACCAGGATGGTACACAACAGGGCTCCTATCACTGCGCCATTTTTCTGTCGCCATGCCTCACTTCTTTAAAATACAGTATCTTGTTTTAAATAGGTTAGAATGATCTGAGATCTCCACCTAACCATGAACTCACCGTGAACTCACTATAAACTCAACGTAATCTCACCATGAACTCACCGCAATCTCACCTAAACTCACCGTAAACTCACCATGAACTCACCATGAACTCACTGTGAACTCACTATGTACTCACCTCACCTTGAACCCACTATGAACTCCTTGTGTGTTCTACCCAGAAGCAGGCTCCATGTGTTAAATTTGCCAAGTATGAGATCTGACGCTCGTCCTGATCCCTGGTGCTCTGACCTGAGGAGATGTCGATGTGCGTGTTCTTCTTCTGCGTGATGTTCATGTAGACGCTGACCTTCCCCTCGGACAGGCCCAGCTCTACCCATCCGTCTGCCAAGGCTGTGAAGAGCAGGAGGCCGTGAGGGTTCCATGTCCTGAAGGAGAGGCTCACGGACAGAGTGTCACTGTCCGGCTGTCCCGGCAGCAGCAGGAATGAAGATGTGTTGAAGAAGACCGGGAAGGAGTCCGAGTCTGCACACGTGAACGTCAGGTTACGCTGCAAACAAACAGAAAGAGGATGTAGCTTTATTTGTCTATTTCATGACACTTTGAAGAAACCGTGGTATAAACTCATTTTAACAATATGAACGAGGCAGTATTTTTCCACTACATGTTTTGATTATCTCAAGGTTGAAGCTACTAGCACCGTGGCAAAGGCTGATTGGACAGTCTCGATTCCTCCATGCTGTATAATACCACTTGCATTCGGTAACATATTTGTCCGTGCTGTCTCTACCATAAACAATAAATATGTCTTCTGTCTGAATTAAAGACCCAATCCCAGACTTTACCGCAAACCGACCTATACAGACCACTACTTACATTGGACTTCAGAACACCCCACAGCACACAAACTATTAGAAAAAAAACGTGATCACAGATAACAAGAACGTACTAGACGAAGAGACTCACATACAACAGTCAAAAACAGAACCAAGCAACCCTAACTCTACCCCAAACCCAAAAGACCCGGCAGAACAGAAAAGGAACCCAACATGGACACCAAACGACCAAACAAGGGTTCATCCAAGGGGTTACTGAACACAAACTAAGAGCCATGAAGAAGCACTCAAGGTAATAAATAATATCTTACAATAGTCTGGTAAAGAAGAACCAAGTCACTTCTCTCTACAAACAAGACAAGATTAACCTTCCTAAATTAGACAGAGACAGGATTGAGATGTAGAAATCCACCTCCAGATACTTTTGAATGTTCATCACAACAGACACGAGATAAATCACTGAGAAAACTACTTCTACTACTTCTGTCCTGGTCTGTAGCCCCTCTGTCCTGGTCTGTAGCCCCTCTGCCCTGGTCTGTAACCCTCTGCCCTGGTCTGTAGCCCCTCTGCCCTGGTCTGTAACCCTCTGCCCTGGTCTGTAGCCCCTCTGCCCTGGTCTGTAGCCCCTCTGCCCTGGTCTGTAACCTTCTGCCCTGGTCTGTAGCCCCTCTGCTCTGGTCTGTAGCCCCTCTGCTCTGGTCTGTAACCTTCTGCCCTGGTCTGTAGCCCCTCTGTCTTGGTCTGTAGCCCCTCTGTCCTGGTCTGTAGCCCCTCTGTCTTTGTCTGTAGTCCCTCTGCTCTGGTCTGTAACCTTCTGCCCTGGTCTGTAGCCCCTCTGTCTTGGTCTGTAGCCCCTCTGCCCTGGTCTGTAACCTTCTGCCCTGGTCTGTAGCCCCTCTGTCCTGGTCTGTAGCCCCTCTGTCTTGGTCTGTAGCCCCTCTGTCTTGGTCTGTAGCCCCTCTGTCTTGGTCTGTAGCCCCTCTGCTCTGGTCTGTAGCCCCTCTGCTCTGGTCTGTAGCCCCTCTGCTCTGGTCTGTAGCCCCTCTGCCCTGGTCTGTAGCCCCTCTGCCCTGGTCTGTAGCCCCTCTGCCCTGGTCTGTAGCCCCTCTGTCTTGGTCTGTAGCCCCTCTGCCCTGGTCTGTAACCTTCTGCCCTGGTCTGTAGCCCCTCTGCCCTGGTCTGTAGCCCCTCTGTCTTGGTCTGTAGCCCCTCTGTCTTTGTCTGTAGTCCCTCTGCTCTGGTCTGTAACCTTCTGCCCTGGTCTGTAGCCCCTCTGTCTTGGTCTGTAGTCCCTCTGCTCTGGTCTGTAGCCCCTCTGTCCTGGTCTGTAGCCCCTCTGTCTTGGTCTGTAGCCCCTCTGCCCTGGTCTGTAGCCCCTCTGTCCTGGTCTGTAGCCCCTCTGTCCTGGTCTGTAGCCCCTCTGTCCTGGTCTGTAGCCCCTCTGTCTTGGTCTGTAGCCCCTCTGTCTTGGTCTGTAACCTTCTGCCCTGGTCTTAGCCCCTCTGCCCTAGTCTGTAGCCCCTCTGTCTTGGTCTGTAGTCCCTCTGCTCTGGTCTGTAGCCCCTCTGCCTTGGTCTGTAGCCCTCTGTCCTGGTCTGTAGCCCCTCTGTCTTGGTCTGTAGCCCCTCTGCCCTGGTCTGTAGCCCCTCTGTCCTGGTCTGTAGCCCCTCTGTCTTGGTCTGTAGCCCCTCGGTCTTGGTCTGTAGCCCCTCTGCCCTGGTCTGTAGCCCCTCTGCTCTGGTCTGTAGCCCCTCTGGCCTGGTCTGTAGCCCCTCTGTCCTGGTCTGTAGCCCCTCTGTCTTGGTCTGTAGCCCCTCTGTCTTGGTCTGTAACCTTCTGCCCTGGTCTGTAGCCCCTCTGCCCTGGTCTGTAGCTCCTCTGTCCTGGTCTGTAACCCTCTGCCCTGGTCTGTAGCCCCTCTGTCTTGGTCTGTAGCCCCTCTGCCCTGGTCTGTAGCCCCTCTGCTCTGGTCTGTAGCCCCTCTGCTCTGGTCTGTAGCCCCTCTGCTCTGGTCTGTAGCCCCTCTGTCCTGGTCTGTAGCCCCTCTGCCCTGGTCTGTAGCCCCTCTGCCCTGGTCTGTAGTCCCTCTGCTCTGGTCTGTAACCTTCTGCCCTGGTCTGTAGCCCCTCTGTCTTGGTCTGTAGCCCCTCTGTCTTGGTCTGTAGCCCCTCTGCCCTGGTCTGTAGCCCCTCTGTCTTTGTCTGTAGTCCCTCTGTCTTGGTCTGTAGTCCCTCTGCTCTGGTCTGTAGCCCCTCTGCCCTGGTCTGTAGCCCCTCTGTCCTGGTCTGTAGCCCCTCTGTCTTGGTCTGTAGCCCCTCTGTCTTGGTCTGTAGCCCCTCTGCTCTGGTCTGTAGCCCCTCTGCCCTGGTCTGTAACCCTCTGCCCTGGTCTGTAGCCCCTCTGTCCTGGTCTGTAGCCCCTCTGTCTTTGTCTGTAGTCCCTCTGCTCTGGTCTGTAACCTTCTGCCCTGGTCTGTAGCTCCTCTGTCCTGGTCTGTAGCCCCTCTGTCTTGGTCTGTAGCCCCTCTGCCCTGGTCTGTAGCCCCTCTGCCCTGGTCTGTAGCCCCTCTGTCCTGGTCTGTAGCCCCTCTGTCCTGGTCTGTAGCCCCTCTGTCTTTGTCTGTAGTCCCTCTGTCTTGGTCTGTAGTCCCTCTGTCCTGGTCTGTAGCCCCTCTGTCTTTGTCTGTAGCCCCTCTGTCTTGGTCTGTAGCCCCTCTGTCCTGGTCTGTAGCCCCTCTGTCCTGGTCTGTAGCCCCTCTGTCTTGGTCTGTAGCCCCTCTGTCTTGGTCTGTAGCCCCTCTGTCTTGGTCTGTAGCCCCTCTGCCCTGGTCTGTAGCCCCTCTGTCCTGGTCTGTAGCCCCTCTGTCCTGGTCTGTAGCCCCTCTGTCTTGGTCTGTAGCCCCTCTGTCTTGGTCTGTAGCCCCTCTGCCCTGGTCTGTAGCCCCTCTGTCTTGGTCTGTAGCCCCTCTGTCTTGGTCTGTAGCCCCTCTGTCCTGGTCTGTAGCCCCTCTGTCCTGGTCTGTAGCCCCTCTGTCTTGGTCTGTAGCCCCTCTGCTCTGGTCTGTAGCCCCTCTGCCCTGGTCTGTAACCCTCTGCCCTGGTCTGTAGCCCCTCTGTCCTGGTCTGTAGCCCCTCTGTCTTTGTCTGTAGTCCCTCTGCTCTGGTCTGTAACCTTCTGCCCTGGTCTGTAGCCCCTCTGTCTTGGTCTGTAGCCCCTCTGTCTTGGTCTGTAGCCCCTCTGTCTTGGTCTGTAGCCCCTCTGCCCTGGTCTGTAGCCCCTCTGTCCTGGTCTGTAGCCCCTCTGTCTTTGTCTGTAGTCCCTCTGTCTTGGTCTGTAGTCCCTCTGTCTTGGTCTGTAGCCCCTCTGTCTTTGTCTGTAGTCCCTCTGTCCTGGTCTGTAGCCCCTCTGTATTGGTCTGTAGCCCCTCTGTCTTGGTCTGTAGCCCCTCTGTCTTGGTCTGTAGCCCCTCTGCCCTGGTCTGTAGCCCCTCTGTCCTGGTCTGTAGCCCCTCTGTCCTGGTCTGTAGCCCCTCTGTCTTTGTCTGTAGTCCCTCTACCCTGGTCTGTAACCCTCTGCCCTGGTCTGTAGCCCCTCTGTCCTGGTCTGTAGCCCCTCTGTCTTGGTCTGTAGCCCCTCTGTCTTGGTCTGTAGCCCCTCTGTCCTGGTCTGTAGCCCCTCTGTCCTGGTCTGTAGCCCCTCTGTCCTGGTCTGTAGCCCCTCTGTCTTGGTCCTGTAGCCCCTCTGTCTTGGTCTGTAGCCCCTCTGCCCTGGTCTGTAGCCCCTCTGTCTTGGTCTGTAGCCCCTCTGTCCTGGTCTGTAGCCCCTCTGTCTTGGTCTGTAGCCCCTCTGCTCTGGTCTGTAGCCCCTCTGCCCTGGTCTGTAACCCTCTGCCCTGGTCTGTAGCCCCTCTGTCCTGGTCTGTAGCCCCTCTGTCTTTGTCTGTAGTCCCTCTGCTCTGGTCTGTAACCTTCTGCCCTGGTCTGTAGCTCCTCTGTCCTGGTCTGTAGCCCCTCTGTCTTGGTCTGTAGCCCCTCTGCTCTGGTCTGTAACCCTCTGCCCTGGTCTGTAGCCCCTCTGTCCTGGTCTGTAGCCCCTCTGCCCTGGTCTGTAGCCCCTCTGTCCTGGTCTGTAGCCCCTCTGTCTTTGTCTGTAGTCCCTCTGCTCTGGTCTGTAACCTTCTGCCCTGGTCTGTAGCTCCTCTGTCCTGGTCTGTAGCCCCTCTGTCTTGGTCTGTAGCCCCTCTGTCTTGGTCTGTAGCCCCTCTGTCTTGGTCTGTAGCCCCTCTGCTCTGGTCTGTAGCCCCTCTGCCCTGGTCTGTAGCCCCTCTGCCCTGGTCTGTAGCCCCTCTGCCCTGGTCTGTAGCCCCTCTGCAGCCACACAGTTGGACGTACAAAGCTGGAGGTGTCCACTCTCTTCCGGCGGATCAGGCTGGTGATGTTGTCTCCGTTGTAGGTGATTCCTTCCATGCAGCCCACAAAGCCCTGACCTGACCCGGGCTTCGCGGACACAGGCAGACCTCCAAACGTGATCTGGGAAAGAAGTACAGAATTATTAATATTTTTTTCAGCTTTACAGAGGACAAAATTCATTAATAAAAGATGGCGTTGGCAGACAAAAAAAAAAACAACAATGAAGAACTTTGGCACAATTGATCAATGAACATCACTAATGCTGGTACTTATTGTTGATAAAATGTGTTTTTGTCCTAATTTTCAGTCCTGGTTAATAACTGAGAATGACGGGAAATAGCTCAAAGCTGATGCAAATGTCGCTTCTATAGTGTGGTTGTACCTGGTTGAACATGACATCTCTAGAGCTGGGGTCTCCAACCTTTTTGGATTGGAGAGCTGCTTTTATAAAACACAATTAGCAGACAGCTACTCCTTTTAGCAGTCGTAATACAATTGTAGTCTAGTCTATATAAAAACTCCAGCTAATCATGGAGAACACACATGCATAACACATGTATACCATTATACAGCACAGTTTTCCTGCATTCATAAAAAGATTTTAATTAATTAGTCAGAAACGTTTGTATTTCATAAGATAAGATATACTTTACTTTATTAATCTCACACAGGAGAAATTTACCTGTACTTCATGTACTTGTGTTTGTATGTATGTGTTTCTGCTGTTTGACACCTGAATTTCTCCTACTGGGATCAATAAAGTATCTATCTATCTATTTTACTCAAAGGTGAATGATTCTGGATCATGTGTTAACTTCTTGAATCCTTTGGGGAGCTATCTGAAACCTGCCACCTGTTGGAGACCCCTGCTCTAGACATTGACCAGGTCCAGGAGCTCTGAGTTTTACCTCGTGGTCCAGGTCCAAGTGGTCAAAGTCTCCGTTGGTTTTGAAGCTCTCTGTGTGCTGATCCAGAGTGAAGTTGACGTTTCTTCTGAGCCGTTCCACGTGGACCGTGTGCCAGTGGTCGTCATCGAGGAGAGAGCCACTGGTGACGGTGGTGTGGCCCTGGACCGAGCTGTGGGGACTGCTCCCTGTAGACAAACACGCAGCCTTACACAGGGGGACTTCTAGTGTCTAAGCTATTATTATTATTATTGAATACTTGAATCATTGTGGGTGCATGAGAAAGATCATGTAGCGTAAACAGTGAGTGGCCTGTCATCAGATGGAAGTCATCATGGACTGATTTTGCTTTGGAAATGAGGATATCCTTCTCATGTCTTTCCAGGGTAGAATTTGGATGTAAGAGCTTCTCTCGTGTTTCACTGTCATTATGCAAAGGATTGTCCCTCTCATGACCGGTACTTTTAAAACCTTCTTCAAACAGTTTGGTGTTTTTGTCTGAATTACTGCTATAAGACCAGTTCACAAGGTAAGCAAACATTAGGACTCCCATAATAATGAAATTACTAGAACTCCCAAATACATCATTTTGACTGCTTCCATTCAAACCAATAGAATTCTTAGAAATTCTCCCAAGAAATGTTCAGTTTTTCATCAAATGTATTAAAAGTAACTTTTTCTTTTTTACTTTTACCCACTTGCTAAATGCTAAAACAGTTTGTTAAAAGATAAAATGCCAAAGATCAATTGCTAACTGTTAAGTGGTAAATGTTGTGTTGCTATAGTAACCAGCACTCGCTCTTCAAAGATAGAAATACTCATGTCTGAAAAATAATACACAAATATCTTCAGGATAATGACAGAAATGAACTAAACAGAAAATTCCCAATGTTACAAAGACCAAAAAGGTATATACACTTCTGAGACTTAAACCCGTCAATTTGACTGCTCTGGGAGTTCTAGTTGAATGCCAGCCAGCCTGTGTAGCTCAGTGTGTTTTTGTGCAGTGCGAATGAGGCCTTAGACATAACGTTTCATAACTTCTTGCATGCTTGAGACATTTATTTTCTACTAAACCCGAGACGCCACAGCTGCCCTGGTTCCTCTGACCACACTCACACTGTTCGAACCCAAATGTGCTGAGAATGACTTTTGGGTGGATGTGAGTGTATCTTTGCTCTCCTCATCCCTCATTCCTCCCCGGAGACACTGACCCAGATTGATCCGGAGCAGCAAGCGAGCGCGGCGAAGCTCCAGGCTGATGTAGTCTCCCTGCTGCCCCTCCCCGTGGAGCAGGACGCCGTCTCCAGCCGAGGTCCGGAACTTCAGAGTGATCGAGTCCTTCACAAACTTGGACTTTTTGTTCCTGAAGCGATACGAGATGACACTGTGGCCGTCAAAACTGATCACGTCGCCCCCTTCAGGAGAAAAGCAGAGACAAGCAAATACATGGTGAATTCACTTTGTAATCAATCACGTTTATCTATAAAGCACGATTCATGAAGTGCAACCGCAAGTGCTTTACGAAGAGAATAAATATTACTCATTTACAAGACATTATAAAAAATATAAGGCAAAACAATAATGGAATCATTAAAACTGGATTAAAACTCAATATAAAAAACGTAATTACCACTTATATATTCGACGTCGACGGCACAATGGAACCCAGGGGAGAGTTGAAACAATCGCGAGTATGCTTTCAAGACCAGAACTTTAAATCTCTTCTCAAAACCCACCTGTTTCATCTTGCTTTTCCTTAATTTTGTTTTTCAACGTTTATTTCTATGTGTTTTGTAAAGCGTCTTTGAGTGTCTAAAAAAGCACTATATAAGTTTGATGTATTATTATTATTATTATTATGACCATCACAGATCTCACAACACTCTGCTCTGATTTAGATTCTTGGCCACAGAAAGGTTCCTCCGTGTTCCTCTGGACCCTGACAATGCAGGTGTTCCAAGAGGGTGCAGTCTGGTTCTGTCCAACAGTTATGTCCAGTTCTGGTACTTTTTCAAAATGGTTTTTATCTATTTCCTTGATTCCAGTCTGTTTATTGAATGTTTGTTAAAATAGCTCTGTGTTGTTGGTGGGTCAGTATGTACCGCTGCAATGTGGGGGGCCCCTGGTGGCGGCCCCTGGTGGCGGCCCCTGGAAGCGGTGCGCTGACACAGTGTACTCACAGTATGCGCAGCCGTACAGCTCCAGCCGCACCCCGATGCGCCCCTCGGAGCTCCAGGACAGGGGCACGAAGCGCAGGTACCGGGCCACGATGGAGTGCTGCAGCTGGTGACGCACAACAGCCTCACTGTCCACGTTCCCCTCAAACACCTGCACACAAGAACCAGGTGAGTTACACACAAGCACCAGCAGAGTCACACACAAGTACCAGGTGAGTTACACACAAGCACCAGGAGAGTCACACACAAGCACTAGGTGAGTCACTCACACACAAGCACCAGCAGAGTCACACACAAGCACCAGGAGAGTCACACACAAGCACCAGGAGAGTCACACACAAGCACCAGCAGAGTCACACACAAGCACCAGGAGAGTCACACACAAGCACCGGGAGAGTCACACACAGGCACCAGGAGAGTCACACACAAGCACCAGGAGAGTCACACACAAGCACCAGGAGAGTCACACACAGGCACCAGGAGAGTCACACACAGGCACCAGGAGAGTCACACACAGGCACCAGGAGAGTTATCTCATTGCACATTTATGAATCATGTACATCTCATTTTCATAGCTGTTTTGGCTTGGATTATTCCAGGTTCCTAATGACTGTGGAAGCCGGAAAATTATGCTCCGGCTTCCAGGGATCTGTGAGCTAAAAATCCTTATTTATGATTTTAGTACAAAAGAAAAAATCCATGGCAGAACGAGTTAAACGTTGAGATTTAAATCCTTTTGTAGATGTTACTCACCCAGATGGTCCCGTCCTGCAGGTAGGGCCTCCAGTTCCTCTGCGTGTCACTGTACAGGAGCCGGTACCTGGACGTCCAGTCCGAGCTGCCGTCCCTGCCCTGCGTTGCCACTGCAACCACTTCCCGCCGGCCCCCGAGGTCCACCTGTAACCACGGCAACCGGTCCGTGTCCAAGGGGACCCATCCTCCGGCTCCTGACCCACAGACAGGAAATATTCAGCTTTTTCACACTTTCAAAATAAGTTCTAGTGTTCTAAAGTTGCAGTGCGAGTATCCAGGACCAGAGGGAATCACATTATAATGCACTACACCAAGTTTCTCATCCATAAAAGACTGCTGTATTTGGTCAGAACTCTCAAAAGACCAGGTTGCAAGACAGGTTAGATGCCGATTGGTTCTGACACACCAGCCCAATATGTGAGGTACTGGGCTGGTGTGTCAGCCCAGTACCTCACAGATGCTCCACTTCACAAGTATCTGAATCAATAAAAACACCTCATCCTTCTAAGCCTTTCCTTCTTAACTTTTATTGACAATTGTGGCATTAAAAAACATCTTAAAAAGGTGTTAAATTTCACTAGGCCAAACCTGGCATGACCCTGTGTCATAAAAGCCCAATTTTAAATCACACAAAGGGATGAGGAAAGACTAAGAAGGAGGTGTTTTGGTGAAATCGCATGTGAGTGTACTCTGATCTTGTTTAGTTAGTTTAGACCAGGACAGAGTAGTTCATTTTGCTATGTTATTTTATGTTTTTGTTGTATTTGTTGTGTTTCATACAATAGCAAGATACAGAAACTGAGTTGGACTGAGTGTTACAGATGTTAGATGCTGATTTAGTGCTGCGTGGACTTATCCCTCCCGCAGCCTGCCACTGCTCTGAGTGACAGGTGGATTGGACCAATCACAGTGCGGTGCCAGCTCTCAAAAGACGTGTGAGGCTGGAGTTAAATCCTAAAGAGATCAGACTCAGATCAGTCCAGTCCAGTACCTTGGTTTCTCTGGAGCTTTCCGTATCCAGCTCCGAAGTCTCGTCCAAACACAGAGGAGCTGGTGAAGAAGCTGTAGGGCAGAGGAGTGGCCAGACTGTCCTGACACCGCCCTGAGACACAAGCAAAACTCACGTTACTCAGATTGTCATGGTGTGAGTTATTTTGGTTATTTACTTTCTGTCCTGTTCCCCTGTGTTGATCATCTGCCCCGCCCTAATGTCTTTCACTTGTCTCTCTGTGTCTCTATGTACCTGTGTCTCTCTGTGTCTCTATGTACCTGTGTCTCTCTGTGAGTCTCTATGTACCTGTGTCTCTGTGTGTCTATGTACCTGTGTCTCTCTGTGTCTATGTACCTGTGTCTCTGTGTGTCTATATGTACCTGTATCTCTGTGTCTATATGTACCTGTGTCTCTGTGTGTCTATGTACCTGTATCTCTGTGTGTCTATATGTACCTGTATCTCTGTGTCTATATGTACCTGTGTCTCTGTGTGTCTATGTACCTGTATCTCTGTGTGCCTATATGTACCTGTATCTCTGTGTCTATATGTACCTGTGTCTCTGTGTGTCTATGTACCTGTGTCTCTCTGTGTCTATGTACCTGTATCTCTGTGTATCTATGTACCTGTGTCTCTGTGTCTATATGTACCTGTGTCTCTGTGTGTCTATGTACCTGTGTCTCTCTGTGTCTATGTAAATGTGTCTCTGTGTGTCTCTATGTACCTGTGTCTCTCTGTGTCTCTATGTACCTGTCTCTCTCTGTGTCTCTCTGTACCTGTGTATCTCTGTGTGTCTATATGTACCTGTGTCTCTCTGTGTCTATGTACCTGTGTCTCTCTGTGTCTATGTACCTGTGTCTCTCTGTGTCTATGTACCTGTATCTCTGTGTCTATATGTACCTGTGTCTCTGTGTCTCTATGTACCTGTCTCTCTCTGTGTCTCTCTGTACCTGTGTATCTCTGTGTGTCTATATGTACCTGTGTCTCTCTGTGTACCTGTGTCTCGCTGTGTCTATACGTATATACCTGTATCTCTGTTTTCCTGGTTCCTGTGTTTCTTTTGGAATTTGGAGTTTGTTTTTACCCTGGACTTTTTCTCCATTATATCTTATTATGTTGCTATTCCTGCTAAGTAAATAATCTTTAAAAGCCATCCCTGGAAATATCCTCATTATCATTCACATAAGAGGACCTTTAAGTTTGGTTACAAAATACATATATCACAATGAGAATGAGGCAGTGTCTCGTTCTGTTCATAAATGATTAACATATGATTAACATGTAGTCACGGCTATTCTAAGGCTATTTGCACATGTTATTTCAAATTTCAAAGAGTTGACACAAACACTAGGACTTCTACAACTCCCAGAGCAGTCATTTTGACGGCTCCCAGTCAATTCAGAATCAGAACTCAAACAGCATTCTGAAAAAGTCAAAAAAGTGAGTTTCATTTATGTTTGTATTTGTATATTTTTACTTTTACTCACTTTGCTAAAGTGCTCAAACTTGTGAATATAATTGAAATAGAGCTCAAAATAAAATAGGCTAAACACTAACTGCAAGTAAACATTGAGTTGCTATGGTAACTGACACACTTCCTCTGCACTGGTGGTAAATTAAGCTGGACCAGGACCAGTCCAGCACCAGTTCAGAACCAGGACTTAAAGGTAGAACTTGTCACAATAAAAAAAGGAGATAATTTACTAAAATATAATGACATAGAATAATAATAATGATAATAATAATAACTACTCTTCCAAAACGAAAAGTTGTCGTATGGACTGCCCTGGGAGTTCTGGTGTTGATTTTTGTTTCTATCTCCGCTTTATAAAAATACTGTTAGATTTTACATATATGAGCAAACTTGCCAATATACTATACAATTACTACTACTCTTGTACTTTAGTTACACACATGAAAACCATATAAACAGTGTCGTATCTCAGAAGCGGCTCTTGTTACAAATGTGTTGCAGTTTTGGACAGTGAGCTGTGGGTAACAGAAGGCTATAGCTCTGAATCACCAAACTGTGTTCTGTTCTGCTTCGGGTTTTCCTTTGCTTTAATGCTGCAGTTCCACTTTCGATTCAGACTGCAGCAGAATTGAGCAATGCAGATTCCTTAAAACAGTATCACAGGAATGAAACCACCAGGACTCAAGTCTTGCATTGAACTACAACGACTAACTATCTTTCAGGACCACGGACAGCACCGAGACAAATACAGGACTTGCTGGACTATAAACAGTTATAGTGATGCAGCCAATGTATGTATTTTATTATGTTGAGAAGTTATTTGGAGAAGTAAGCAGTCACACAGCAGTTTTAACAACAAGCCCAGACTGGACTTGATCCAGGACAGCCTGAGTCCTGAATAGGACTCAGGCTGTCCGTCCGTAGGAGCAGATCCCTGTCTCAGTGTGGGCCTCCCATCTGTTGTTGGTGAATCGGAATCCTCTGAGAAGACTGCTGTTGTGCTTTAGGGCTATACACAAATACATTATATTCAGAGTCAAGCTAAAGACTTTAAGGGTTCTAGAGAGTTCCCCTGACTGAAAGGACTCTATTGAGGGTCTACTTTCATGAATCCATTGAAAGCACCTTTTGTGATGAAAACACAGCCCTCAAAAGGACCTCTAACATTGTATTAAGTTGTCATATACTTTTATTACTCCAGTAAAGTACAACCAGGTAGTCCAGTCCAATGTTTGCTTTATTATGGTACTTCTCACTGACACCGCTTTTAATATGAGAAAAATTGCTTGACTCTGTACAAATACGATGATTACTACAGGATTTATTCAATATTGCACCCTGCCTGCTGCAATGACTCAGTGTAGCTGCTGAAAAACATGGACAAAAACACAGCTCTGAAAAGAAGAATACACAATACGCGACTAAACTCAGACTCAACCCAGGTGCCAGAAGTACACACCCAACCCAAAACTAAGACTTTATTATTATTATTTTTTAATCAGTGGCCAATTATTCCGCGCATGACAGCAACCCCACATGCTAGTCATCCATTATGATTTATGAGCCAGGCATGCGGAGACTCGACTATAGAAAATAAAGGCGCAGGGTGATATTTCTGGTTCTGGTATATATACATCTGGTTCATTTCGGTCTGGATGAATGAATGCACCTTCTGTTTTGAGTCCTATTATAACCCGTGCCGTGCTGTGCTGTGCTGTGGTGAAAGTGGTGGTGGTACTTACGGGACGCTGCGGCAGAGCTCCTCAATGCGCCCAGCAAGGCCAATAATAACAACATTGTGGATCAGAGAAATAAATAAATAACTATATGTCTATTAGGACGCGCTGTTATAAGACCACATCCGGAGACAATGCACCAGCTTGTGATGCGAGCTCCCCTCTTCAACGTGCTGCTGCTGCCCCCCCAAAAAAACCTCAAAAATGCGCTTTGTTTTTCCACCCTGCTGCCAATTATCCGCTTTGCGCGCAGCTGGGTCCAAAAAGGGCCTGGAAACGCAAAAGTGAACGGGCTGTGGATCAACGGCAGGTTAGTGATGGTTCTCCCACAAACAGACGCCTAAAGACAGCGCCAGGAGGAGGAGAGAGCACCCCCGCACTCCGCGTGGGGATGGTACGACCCAAGGCGCACAACAATGAGGGGCCCCCAGAGAGGAGAGGAGAGGAGAGTCGAGGAGGCAGGGGGGGAGGGAGGAGGGGACATGTGGGAGAGGCGTAGGGGCCCGTACGCGGATAGGCTAATGAACGAGGCCCCTGGGGTGTTTTTGGAGTCAATACATCAGCGCCGGTGTAACACAAGAGGCATAAATTGGACCAGATGATGCTTATGATGGAGAGGAGAGCGAGAAGGCATAGAGATGTTGTGATTTACGGCGATACAAAAATAAATTGTAATGAATTTAATTGGGTTTAGATATTGGAAAGAGCAGTGCAAATGCCGAGGGCAGCAGGGGTGAGGCGTGTGGACAGATACATTGAAAGTACTTTTTTGCCAGAATAATCCAAATTAAGGTGTTTTTTTATCACTCATTGTGTCCCATTGACGGACAAATACGTCAAATGCCTTTTTCGCTATTTTCACGTTCCCAGATGTCTATTGTATCTAATATGTATGGGGATGACTTGAGACCATATTTTATCGAGCCAGCAGGTGGCAGCATTGCTCTCTGAATGGTTTGAAAACATGTAGGTGCACATGTTGTGCCTCTTTTTTCTCAACTTTCTGGTGATTTCTGGTGATTTCAGTAAAACTTCCCTCTACTCGACGGAGGATTACAGGGGAACGAAAAAAGCTATAAACAAAATTCTTTCAGATAGTCATAGTACACAATATTCTGTGGGTCTTGAAAAATCTGTAAAAATCATCAGAAATGGCTGGCACTGTGGGAGTACCTGTTCTGAAATAGGCTGGCATTCAATGAGTTAAAATGCACATTAACAATATTGTCTCAAGAAAGGAGGAAGTGTGTGGGTGGATAGGGAAGTCTGGGCGTCTCTGCCCCCGCGACACGGCAACGGATGAAGTCTCAAGAAATGATGTATACGCTATTAAAATAGGATTTGTTTCTGTATTTGATGTGTCTGCAGCTCCATTTATAGGATCTACTGAAAGTCGTGGACAGTTTCCTGTAGTGTTTTAACCGTGCATTATTGTGTATGGAGATATAGTTCCTCCTTGGACGCGGAGCAGAAGCATTTTCCGGACTTAATTTGAGAAAATGTGCTCGTTTTAAAGGTGCATGTTGGGGCTGCTCCATCAGTGACATGACATAAGCACACGACACGAGAGATCATGAGTGAATGAATGAGAAAGTCTGTGATTTACACCAGGCCCCGGGTTTCCAAGATTCAAGTCTATTTATTTTTGTATCACCCTATATCACAATGGAAGTCGTCACGGAGGAGTTTACAAAGCTGTCGATTCGCTAACTCAAATCAGAATCAAAGAGTTTGAACAAAGTGAAGCGCAGGTGCGCGCTTCATCGAGCGCGCACCTGCCTCTTGTTGCCAGGTGCGCGTTGCTAGGGCCAGTGCATCTTTTGAATCACTGCATCCGTGCAAAACTTTGGCTGAGACTTCACTCGACGATTTCTTCAAACATGAGACATCACTGCAGACCATCTCCACCCAGACTGCTGCTGACCCACTCCTGATCCCAACCACCAGACTTTTCTGAGGAAAAAACGTGAGCTTTTCCCTGTTCACATTATTATGGGTTCTATGGGTACGGCTTGTGTTACTCAAACACAGACAAATGTAGATAAGCAGAAGGGTATCCAAAAATCGCCTTAATCATTCTATGACAAACACATTCTGTGTTTAACTTGTTTCATAAGGTTTTGCTCTATCAAAAGCATGTTTCATATGGGATCATTCCACAGAGGCAGAGGATTGTAAGATTATGAGACAGTCTTAGCTGTACTCTCTTTCCAATGTCTGGGAGGCTGAGCCAGTGACATCCAGCCAATGTGTTCAAAAAGAGCAATGGTGGAATGCAATTTTAGTCATTTATAATACGTATCAGTCTCACCACAAGGGTGCATTTCTGAAGCTTTTTTTGGGTAATGACGCAATATTGCAACTATTGTGCAATTACAGGGCGCCAGATTTCAGGATTCTCATATTTCAGTAACATGTTCCAGGAGCTTCAGAGGTAACAGGAGCCATCCATCCATCCATTTTCCTCCGCTTCATCCGTTGCCGGGTCGCGGGGGCAGCAGTCTAAGCAGAGACGCCCAGACTTCCCTATCCACACACACCTCCTCCAGCTCGTCCGGGGGGACCCCTAGGCGTTCCCAGGCCAGCTGAGAGACATAGTCTCTCCAGCGTGTCCTGGGTCTTCCCCGGGGCCTCCTCCCGGTGGGACGTGCCCGGAACAACAGGAGCCATCTTTAACAGAAATGTTTTCCTTCTTCAAAGACACAATTCAAGTTTCCCCAAATGATCCAAGCCATGTGTGGAATCCATGACTAGAAAATGTTGCTTACATTGTGAATAAATGATTTTGTTTCACTATACTGTCTTTATATTAATCCTTGCTTTTTACATACAGAAGCTCAAGGCAGCAAAACCTTTCATCAATGTTGAATATGCAGAGGTCGACCATTAAACAGTCAAAACAACAGGTCAAGTGCTCATTCTCCTGCCGTGGCTGTTGATGGAAACAGAAAACTATATACAGTGGGGCAAAAAAGTATTTAGTCAGCCACAGATTGTGCAAGTTCTCCCAATTAAAATAATGACAGAGGTCTGTAATTTTCATCATAGGTATACTTCAACTGTGAGAGACAGAATGTGAAAAAAAATCCAGGAATTAACATTGTAAGATTTTTAAGAATTTATTTGTAAATTTTGGTGGAAAATAAGTATTTGGTCAATAACAGAAATTCAACTCAATGGAAGGAGGTTTTGGCTCAAAATCTCACGATACACGGCCCCATTCATTCTTTCCTTAACACGGATCAGTCGTCCTGTCCCCTTAGCAGAAAAACAGCCCCAAAGCATTACATTTCCACCCCCATGCTTCACAGTAGGTATGGTGTTCTTGGGAAGCAACTCAGTATTCTTCTTCCTCCAAACACGACGAGTTGAGTTTATACCAAACAGTTCTACTTTGGTTTCATCTGACCCCATGACATTCTCCCAATCCTCTGCTGTATCATCCATGTGCTCTCTGGCAAACTTCAGACGGGCCTGGACATGCACTGGCTTCAGCAGGGGGACACGTCTGGCACTGCAGGATTTGATTCCCTGCCGTCGTAGTGTGTTACTGATGGTAACCTTTGTTACTTTGGTCCCAGCTCTCTGCAGGTCATTCACCAGGTCTCCCCGTGTGGTTCTGGGATTTTTGATCACCGTTCTCATGATCATTTTGACCCCACGGGATGAGATCTTGCGTAGAGCCCCAGATCGAGGGAGATTATCAGTGGTGGAAATATTGTTTTGGACTACATTTGGGCTATCTTTTATACAGATAATGAGTTCAAACAGGTGCCATTAATACAGGTAACAAGTAGAGGACAGAAGAGCTTCTTAAAGAAGAAGTTACAGGTCTGTGAGAGCCAGAGATCTTCCTTGTTTGAAGTGACCAAATACTTATTTTCCACCATAATTTACAAATAAATCCTACAATGTGAATTCCTGGATTTTTTTTCACATTCTGTCTCTCACAGTTGAAGTGTACCTATGATGAAAATTTCAGACCTCTGTCATTATTTTGAGTGGGAGAACTTGCACAATCGGTGGCTGACTAAATACGTTTTTGCCCCACTGTATAAACAAGCTATATTAAACAAGCCTTCAAGGTGTAATAGACCTTGATGCTGACGGACAGAAACAGGTTAAGGAGTTGTGAGAACTTTCTCCAAAATCACTGTGGGAAAACTCAGAGACCTTCACTCTCTGTGGGAGGAACAGGTGCTGAATAAAGCAAAATGTATTCTGGCTCTGGGGCGACAGTAGCTCAGTTGGTAGAGCATTGGCCTTAAGGCCAGAAGGTCGTGGGTTCAATTCCCACCTCTACACCTTCTCCACCGACTCCCACTGATGACTGCTGTTGTTGTGTCCTTGGGCAAGACACTTAACCCCACTTTGCCCAAAGCCCCCGCTGGAAGATCTCAGCTCCTGTGGACTCACCACCCGCAGAGGATCAGTGAGGGGCTGGTGCTATGAGACTTGGGTGGCATCTCTGACTGCCACCCCCCTGACCCAGAAATGGATTAAAGGGTAGAAAATGGATGGATGGGTATTCTGGCTCAGCCCAAACATCCTCTGATCGCTGACTTTGTCTTGATGCCTTCAGGGCGTTGTCTTTATGTCCAGCACGAAAACAAACCGTTTTCAAATTCTTTTGTGCCCTCTGCCATAAAACTGTTGAACTCTGGTAGAGTTGGTTGACTTTTGGGAATTGTGTTGTTCAGTGTTGTTTTTGTAACTTATATTGCGTAACCTGCTGCTGTGTGAACTGTGAGACTCACTGTGTGTTTGTGTAGAGTATTTGTGTTCTGCTTTGAGTTTATGCAGCAAATGAATTGCCCTTTGGGATCAATAACGTTTTCTGAATCTGAATAACATTAATGTGCTCGTGAAAAATATTCCCAGCATGCACAGCAGGTCGACACTGCTTACTTTGAGGGAGTTTGTGTTTGCGATGACCAAGTCGCAGCAGTTCTGAATGGAATCCACACTTAAGTGAATCATGTTCCATATCTTAAGTTGTATACTACATATCTATCATGTAACTGTAGCTGTCAACTATCAATCCTATACTGATCTTGGTGGTAGAGAAAGAGTATTGTGGGAGAGTCGAGTTTGCAAAGGCTAAAAGTTTGGAATCTGAACCTGCGACGTCTTGGTGATACAACAGGTCGGTGTCTAAATGACTTCTAAATCTGGTCGCTGCGTTTACACTGAACACGGCTCGGCAAAAGGACTCGATCGACAGGTGGGTGAAACCCTAAAAGGGGGTTTCAGATTCTCTATTCTCGAGCGCCTCTCCAGCTCAATGTAACCCAGGTCTCGTCCTGTGATCCTCACTGACAGCTCCCAGACAGTTCATTGGCTCCGACACGGATGGTGCTGTAGTTGAAATATTGCCGCCAGTCTCTTGCACTTTCTGGCTACTTCCCGTTAGCCCAGCGTGGCATTCGAACTGAAAGCATTCTAAACTAAAAGAACACTGAGCAGAAAATTACAACATTCAACTATCAGGTTTTTTTTTTCCTCCCTGAACTCGAACTGAACTAATTCCTCTGTGTGAGGTGGAGTGCTGAGCCCACAGAGCCGGCAAATGGTAGGACCTTTCTTTATTTTTTCCCCCAATAAGTGGACACCTTAAGTTTCGACATTTTCCATTGTTTTTTTTCCTCAAGGGAATATACTTTGTTTTCCCAAAAGACATTCTAAAAGTGAAAACTGAACTTTGTTGCTCCTGTTACTCCTGTTGCACTATCAAAAAGGGTTTTTTCCCCATGCGTGGGTTTTCCCTTTGAATTTTATTTTGTATTTTGTACTTTTGCAAATTTGGAACATTTGAATTTCGTTTGTTTACTCTGATTGCTTATTGTTTATAACTGTTATTTTCTACAAAAAAACATTGATGAATACAATATTATTTGTATACATTACACTGGTCTCCCTTCACCACAAGCTCCTTCCACAAATGTAGTTTCTTTCTGTTTTTTTTCTCTCCCTACATCACTCAAACCCTAACCTAATAGTTTATTATTTGTATACTTTAAATAAATAAATGTTACATCAACACAAAGACAGCAAATTATCTATCATCTTGTTAGAAACTTCCTACAACAATATTTTCAATCAATATGAAAAAGAAAAAAATAATACATTCACTAAGTTAAAGAAATCAATGAGTTACATTTACCAAGAGTTAAAATAGGATGTATTATAATATATATAAAAAAAGAATTCAAACATTGATATATTTCATATTTTTTTATTTCAAAGAGTGGCTGGACTGAGGAAGTTTCATTTTTTGTGAGGCCTTCTGCTTCAGCAATACACACTTCACCAGTGGCAACACACACGCACACAAAAACTTTTATACATCGTGAGCCTCTTGTATATGAGCTGCAATAGTGAATTTCTCCATTGTGAAATAAATAAAAAATTATTTATATCATTCTTATAAAAGAAACCATATTGAAGGGACCAAACCAGAGAATACTTTCTCTTTTTTGCCTTTTCAATCTTCGAGTTTTTGCTAATAGCAAACCAGCGAGATCAGGTCTTTAAACAGTCACATGATGTAAGCCTTGAGGCTGATTATTTCAGAAACGCTTGGAAGCCTTGATTAATTTCACTAATCACTAGTTCCGAGTCCTTCTCTTTTGCCTTTGTCTTTTTGTCGTCATGGTGTGGATATTCTGACTTCTCTGTGTTTTTGTTGGTGTTTCTTCCTGTCCTGCCCCCTGTGAGCCCTGCCCTCATGTGTGTCATCTGTGTCTGTGTCTATATGTACCTGTGCTCGTCCTCATTTGTTCCTGGTCCATTAGTCGCGTTTCCACCGCAAGTCACTTTAAACCCTGGTTCACACGGCAGGATAATTAGGCCGATTTTGGACCCGATTTACCCCTACGACAATCTTAAGAACGCTCCGAATATCGTTAAAAAAAATCTGATGGATTTTCCTGCCGTGTGTTAAGAATGTGCTCGTCGCTCGGAAGGACTTCGGGACTGCTCCGATCTCAATATCAGGGATATCCAACATGCTGGATTGTTTTGGCCCGATTTCTCCTCGTGTGTGGTGTCCCCCGAGGACAGACGAGCGCGTTGCCATGACTGTGGCGTGTAGCCAATCAGAAGACGAGACGAGGCGGCGAGGAAACACCGTAAAAAAACAACTCGCCTCCATATCACGATGTAGCAAGTATAGTCCATGCTCGAGTTGTCTACACTTCTTTGACCATCGCCTTTTCTTTTGATTACGTCTTTTCTCAGATAAAAACAAACTATCGCCACTGCATCCTCTTCGTCCGCCATGTGTGTTTACTCTGAAGTCACGCTTGATCTCGCGAGATTTTGTGAGATTTCCGTCTGATCTGGGAATGCACGGGGAGGAAATCGGTTTGTGTGTGATTTGCGTGATTTTTGCCGTGTGGCTGCGCACCACACACTGTACGACCAAAGTGGTTAGACCCATGATTTTTTATCTCCGTGTGTGGGGTCTCACACGGAGAAAAAAATTGGCCGACAATTTTAAAACTATTGCATTAGGACTGAAAAACCTGCACTACAATTGACATACTATTGTTTCTTGATTCAATTGTTGATTACGTAGCGATCGAAACTCCTGACGTTGCAGAGGGTCCTACTCTACAGTGGAGACGCGGCCGGGGTTCCTGTAGATGTCCCACCCCCTCATTTTACCAGGACCTCCTGCGGTGGAAATGCAACTATTGTCTATGTTTGTCTGTTTTTCCAGTTCCTGTGTTTTGTTTGAATATTTTAAGTTTGGTTTTACCTCGGACTTTCATCTATTTCTTCATTAAATCCTACTATTTTGGCTTTATTGCATTTTGTGTCCTTTCTTGAGACAGTTGTGCCCCTTCATGTGTGCCACTATGTCTGGCTTGGTGTAGAAAACCTTGTCACACACTTCACAGGGAATGATCAGTTCCCGGGAATGCCTGAGGTTGTGAATGTTCAGAGACGCTGCGTTTACGAAACTCTTCCCGCAGTGATTGCACAAGTACGGCTTCAGCCCCGAGTGAAGGACGCAGTGCAGCTTAAACCCCTGCAGAGTTTTCAACTTTTTCCCGCACTGGTCACATTGGTATGGTTTCTCGTCGCTGTGGCTCTTCTGGTGCTGCCTCAGGACTGCGCTGGATATGAAAGACTTCCCGCAGGTGTCGCAGGTGCACGGCTTCAGTCTGCTGTGGACTTTAAGGTGCTTTTTGTACGATTTCACCCAGGGGTAAGACTTGCCGCAAAGTTCGCACGTGTACGGACGCTCCCCGGTGTGAATGCGTGTGTGCTTTTTCAGATCATCCAGATAGGTGAAAGAGATCCCGCATTGGTCGCACGTGTGGTCTTTGACACCGGTGTGGATGAGCTGGTGTCTGTGGAGGCTCCCCCTGGTGGTGAAGCTGTGTCCGCACTGCTCGCACGGGTAGGGTTTGACGCCGGTGTGTGTCTGCAGGTGCTGCTTGAGGTGTGAGGCCTGGGTGAACGCCTGCTCGCACTGGTCACACTTGAACGGCCGCAGACCAGAGTGCAGCATCTGGTGTCTTTTGAGGTGAGCTGCAGAGGAGAAGGACTTGGAACACTGGTCACAGGAAAACATCTCTGGACACACTGGCTGATTTTTAAGTTAATGAAGAAAGTGGTGCTTTGTCTGTGAACAAGCAGAGAAAATGAAAATTAGGAAATGACTATATACTGTAAATAAAGTTTAAACAAAAATTGGGATAGTGTCTGGTAAATACAGTTATTGTTTTGTTTGATTCTACAGTTCACTTGTCTCTACACAGAAAACTTGAATTCTTACATTCAAGTCAGTTTTCCCTCTCCACATATACACTCCCAAAGTTTCCATAGATTTGACCACGCCATAAATTCCAGCACCACATCATGTCGACTCAAAACCTTCTCTAAGACTATAAGTATTCTGAAACAATTAGAACTCCCAGAGCGGTTATTTTGACTGCTCCTGTCAAAATTCCCCAAAAATACTTTTAGTTTCCCACCAGATTTACTTCTACTGACAAAAACTAAGTGCTAAAACTGGTTAATATCATATAACAGCAACAACCGTTTGCTGAAATGCTAACAATTGCTAACTGGTAGCAAGAAAACAGTGTGTTGCTATAATGGATCTATAATAATAACTGGATAGAGTATTACTAGCTTATAGCTTTCCCACCCATGGGCACAGGGGACGCCCGTGGTACTGCAGACTAAATTCACGTGGGCTACCCAGAAAAAAGTCCAGCACAGCATTATATGCGGCTTACATACATAACAATATTAAAATAACATAATTTGCATGTTTAATGTACCTTTAAAATATGACTCTTTTATGGTAATGAGTGTCATTTATAAGAGAGAAATGTATCTGACTGTAGCCAAACATGTATTGGGTGAATGTACTTTTGTAATACCAAAAAGAAACAAAAGAAATAAGGTTCATAAGTTGAACCTACTCCTTTTTTAATTTAATTGTTTTTGATTGTATTGTACAATGAATGGACCAATGTTCTTTGTGTTGTCTATCATTACATTTATTGTGTTTGAACAGTTTTATTCTCTGATCTGTGATGGTGAATCAACAGTTTTCCATACACAAATACATTGAATTGAATGATTAGAAATAGAGAGCAGCAGCTGACATCAGAGCCGAGAGCAGTCAGAGCTGATGCCTCTCTCTGCCTCGCTCTGTCTGCTCTGAGCTGGCTTCTCAGCTTCACTTCAAAGTTTTAGGTCTAAGGAGGTTTGTGATCCCTAAAAGACGCAACGAGTCTGTGTGGAAAAGAGTAATCACACTTTCAAAACTAAAAACTTTCAAATTGACTGCTCTGGGAGCTCCCACAGTGGGGGGTTTTCCGTGTTGCGGTGTTCTGTCGAGTTGTATGGAGGACCGTGGCTGCCAAAACTGTAAATATATACAGAAAAAACAAATAAATAAATAAATTTTAAATAGATAAAATTAGCAAAGAAATGCATACAATTATGAGAATAAGTGCATTTATTTCTGCATTTATCTATGTATATATTTATTTATTTATATATTTATTTATTTTTGTATTTATTCATACATTTATTTCTGCATTTATACCTCTATTTCTGTATTTATTTATTTCTCTATTTATTTATTTATTTTTGCATTTATTTATTTATTTATTTTTGCATTTATTTATTTATTTATGTCTTTATTTATTTATTTATGTTTGCATTTATTTCTGTATTTATTTATTTATGTCTGTATTTATTTCCGTATTTCTCTTAATGATAAAAAAAAATAAAAAAAATAAAAATAAAAATCTCAAGCATTCTTCCATATGCAACAATTGCATTGTGTGTGTGTGTGTGTGTTTTTTGTCCGGCTCGTGAGAGGCTTTTGTATGAAGAAGTCTCTGCAGAATACTGCGCCGCTACAACGAAGACACGTTTCTGAGTGTGGAAAACGACAGGACTCCACTTTTCAGTCTCTCTCAGACACTTCAGCGGACTTCAGGGCTTTGTAGTAAAATACACACAAGCACCTGTCACTGCCTTTGCCAAAAGCCTCTCACGAGCCGGACAAAAAAACACACACACACACACAATGCAATTGTTGCATATGGAAGAATGCTTGAGATTTTTATGTTTATTTTTTCGTTCTGACATGGCTATAGCGAGAACACAGTGATCTCAACATGACCGCCTACACTGGGCAAGCTATGGAGCAAGGAAAAAGATTAACCAATAAGCTTACAGCAGAGGCTTGATCACCCCATGATTTGCATATCATTAAGAGAAATACGGAAATAAATACAGAAAAGAAAAAAGCAAAATAAATAAATAAATGCAAAAATAAATAAATAGAGAAATAAATAAATAAATGCAAAAATAAATAAATAAAGAGAAATAAATAAATAAATAGAGAAATAAATACAGAGAAATAAATAAATACAGAAAGAGAAATAAATGTATAAATGCAGAAATAAATACATGAATAAATACAAAAATAAATAAATATATAAATAAATAAATACAGAAATAAATAAATATATGAATAAATAAATACAGAAATAAAAGCACTCATTCTCATAATTGCATGCATTTCTTAGCAAATTTTATCTTTAAAAAAAAAAAAAAAAAATTCTGTTTATATTTATTGTTTTGGCAGCCACGGTCCTCCATAGAGTTGGTCTCTGAATGCTTCTTTACACTAGAACTCCCACAGAAGTTCATTTGACAGCTTTTATTTTTGGAAGTGTAGTTACTCCATGTGAATTCTTGATCTTCATGACTTTGGGACATTTTTGCTGTCTCTTTACGTAGTTTATTTTGATGTCATTATTTTTTTTAAGAAATACCACTACTTTTGAAATGTGAGTAGAGAATATAAAGTCCTAGTGTTTTCTGTATTTTAGTTGCAGTTATAATGAGCAGTTAAAAGTGAGTTAAGGTGAAACAGAAACAAAAATAATCCCAAACATTTCTTTCCCAAAGAATATTGTTTCCATTGGTCTGAATGGAGCAGTCAAAAGGACGGCAATGGGTGTTTTGTTCTGGGAGTCCTGGTGTTAACAAGCTGTAAAAGCTTCATAAATACAGTGGGTGTTTTCTCGTTCACATGTGAAAAGAGCTGGGCCATTTTGGGGCGAGAACCGCGGTTGAAGACCACCCCCCGCGGAGGACGTGTCTGTGAGCAGCGGCCATGTGTATTGGACTTTATAATCAGTCAGAAGTCTGCAATATATAGCGCTCTTCTGCAACTACTGTGAAAAATCAGAAACAGACCGAGACGAGTTCAGAACCTGGATCTATTATAAAACAGGTTCAGAAGCACTCATGCTAACCAAACCAGGATATGCCTTAAATATCACAATCTTTCAATCTGTCTCCAATTCTCCACATGTGTAAGGTTATTGTTCATTCTCTGTTTACAAACATACAAGAAAACCAGTAACCAGCCTCACCTCTGTGACCTCTGCAGGAAGCGCTCAATCCGAAGCACATCAGCTTGTTTCTGCAGAGTCCTGAGTCTAATCACCAGCTCAATGAAGCCCGATGAAGAAGTGCTCACGGAGGAAGTTTTGCTCCAACTCGCTCTGGCCAGGGGACTCCTCCTCAAGTATAGCGTAGACGAGAATAGCTTTTCTGAAGTGAACGCCAAATATTTAGAGTCTGAAAGAGTGAGCCAGCAGTGAAAGACACGCGTTAACGTGAAGCGCCGCCGTGGATGGAACTCCTGTTGTTTACGTGTCAATACTGCACTTCCTGGATCATCACTGCGGGAGAGACAGGAACAGGGAGCGCTTAACAAAATAAACGTCAGAAACTTTCAAAACAAATGTATAAGAAAACAATGGATGGATGTTATGATGTCTTGCATCTTAATCAATGCATTTTACAACGATATAAGAAAAGTGTCGAGGATTTGATTATGAGTTTCTTTGGAAAAGTAAACTACCGCAGTTTTGACACAAGGTGGCAGAAGTTGCCTTGTTTTCTCCAGAGCAGGTCGACAGAGTATGTGCTTTCTACTCTCAGTCATAATTTACATATTTATTGACAAACATGACAAACTACAGAGGATGAATAAGTAGAAGGATGGGTTGAAGTTTGAAGACGGGCCATTACAAATCTTCTAGAGAAAGCAAATGCCCAAACTATGGCCCACGGGCCGATTGCGACCCTCTTTGTTATGCTATCTGGCCTTTTCCTTGCTAATACAAAATAGTGATCGAGTCATCTAGCCAACCTAAGCTCTGCCATTATAGACCTGTCGTACCTTGTTCAGCTCAGAACCTCTGGAATTCAGCTGTTGACTTTGTATTTGTATAAACTGTTTTTGATTGTGTGTCAAAACCATTTAAAAAATTGGCCTCTGGACAAACCTGGTTAACAATATTTGATTCTACACAATTGTAAGATTATCTTACAATTGCGTTATCACCTTTGTCAAAAGCCTCTTCTGAGGAAGACAGAAGTATGTCAAAGAAACATGTCAATAACATCACTATCTAAGAGAAGAATATTTCACTGGTTTTGTTTGAAGCACATGAACAATTACTTGAAGGCTTTTCTTAAAAGTCTGGGGCCCAATCTGAGGGAATCCAGCAAACAGCTTTGAAATCCATTGGTTCTTTCATCTCAGGGGACAGGGAGGAGCAGAAGAGGATCCAGCACGAGCTCCAGTGGAGGATCAGGAGGGCCAAGAAGGACTATGGGAAAAAGCTGGAGCAGAAGCTGGCCCAGGGAAACGCACGCGACGTGTGGAGAGGCCTAAAGAACATCTCCGGCTTTGGACAGAGTGCCAGAGGAACAGCGGATGGAGACCAGCACAGGCGGATGAATTTAACCAGTACTTCAACCGGTTTGATTCTCCCCCCTCTCCATCTGCCCCCCTCCTGCCCCCACCTCTTCACACATCCCCAGCCCAGTGGACACCGCCCAGTGGACACTGCCTCCGGCTGCCCCGGGTCCTCCTGCCCCCGCATCCCCAGCCCCCACCTCGGACAGTACACCCCGGTCCCCCCCCCCCTCTCCATCACACCGGACCAGGTGAGGAGTCAGCTCCAGCGCCTGAAGCTGAGGTGTCCGCAGGACCGGACGGGATCAGTCCCAGGCTGCTGA